TGGTTGAATGGTTGACAGAGGGAGTGGTGGTTGAGGTGTGACTGGTTGAATGGTTGACAGAGGGAGTGGTGGTTGAGTTGTTGAGTGAGTGAGAGGTGGTTGAGGTGTGAGTGATTGAGTTGTTGAGTGAGTGAGTGGTGGTTGAGGTGTGACTGGTTAAGTTGTTGAGTGAGTGAGAGGTGGTTGAGGTGTGACTGGCTGAGTTGTTGAGTGAGTGAGTGGTGGTTGAGGTCTGAGGGATTGAGTTGTTGAGTGAGTGAGTGGTGGTTGAGGTGTGACTGGTTGAATTGTTGAGTGAGTGAGTGGTGGTTGAGGTGTGACTGGGTCAGTTGTTGAGTGAGTGAGTGGTGGTTGAGGTGTGACTGGTTGAGTTGTTGAGTGAGTGAGTGGTGGTTGAGGTGTGACTGACTGAGTTGTTGAGTGAGTGATAGGTGGTTGAGGTGTGACTGGTTAAGTTGTTGGGTTAGTGAGTGGTGGTTGAGGTGTGACTGGCTGAGTTGTTGAGTGCGTGAGTGGTGGTTGAGGTGTGACTGGTTGAGTTGTTGAGTGAGTGAGTGGTGGTTGAGGTGTGACTGACTGAGTTGTTGAGTGAGTGAGAGGTGGTTGAGGTGTGACTGGCTGAGCTTGTTGAGTGAGTGAGTGGTGGCTGAGGTGTGACTGACTGAGTTGTTGGAGTGAGTGAGAAGGTGGTTGAGGTGTGACTGACTGAGTTGTTGAGTGGTGGTAGAGGTGTGATTGGTTCAGTTGTTGAGTGAGTGAGAGGTGGTTGAGGTGTGACTGACTGAGTTGTTGAGTGAGTGAGTGGTGGTTGAGGTGTGACTGGCTGAGTTGTTGAGTGAGTGAGTGGTGGTTGAGGTGTGACTGGTTGAGTTGTTGAGTGAGTGAGTGGTGGTTGAGGTGTGACTGACTGAGTTGTTGAGTGAGTGAGAGGTGGTTGAGGTGTGACTGGCTGAGTTGTTGAGTGAGTGAGTGGTGGTTGAGGTGTGACTGACTGAGTTGTTGAGTGAGTGAGAGGTGGTTGAGGTGTGACTGACTGAGTTGTTGAGTGGTGGTAGAGGTGTGATTGGTTCAGTTGTTGAGTGAGTGAGAGGTGGTTGAGGTGTGACTGACTGAGTTGTTGAGTGAGTGAGTGGTGGTTGAGGTGTGACTGGTTGAGTTGTTGAGTGAGTGAGAGGTGGTTGAGGTGTGACTGGTTCAGTTGTTGAGTGAGTGAGTGGTGGTTGAGGTGTGACTGGCTGAGCTGTTGAGTGAGTGAGTGGTGGTTGAGGTGTGACTGACTGAGTTGTTGAGTGAGTGAGAGGTGGTTGAGGTGTGACTGACTGAGTTGTTGAGTGAGTGAGTGGTGGTTGAGGTGTGACTGGCTGAGTTGTTGAGTGAGTGAGAGGTGGTTGAGGTGTGACTGGTTCAGTTGTTGAGTGAGTGAGTGGTGGTTGAGGTGTGACTGACTGAGTTGTTGAGTGAGTGAGAGGTGGTTGAGGTGTGACTGGTTAAGTTGTTGGGTTAGTGAGTTGTGGTTTACTTGTTAGGCAGTTAATTACCGTATATGACATTTACAACCTTATTTGGTCATCCCCCTTTGCCGTGTCTGCCATCACATCAACTGGTCAAGGAAGTGCTATTGTTTTTCTATGTGTCCATGGTTGAGTTAGTATACTTAGTATGGTCACATCTACAGGACCGCCTCCGTGGTGTAGTGGTAGCAGCGTCCGCCCGGAGAGCGGAAGGTCGCGGGTTCGATCCCCGACCGCGCCATACCAAAAGACGTTCAAATATGGTACTTGTTGGTCCCTGCCTGGCGCTCGGCATTAATGGGTACAACAAGGACTGGTCGGCTCGGAGTCAGTATACTGTGTCTGAGTGGGGTATTCATGCTTCACTGCGGCCTGGTATCTCAGTGGGCTAGCTCTATAAAACCAGCTTAAGTCTGCGCTAGTACAAGCAGCCGCACATACACATACACACGCATGCACGTCGTCATATGAACGAAATATTCTCAAGCACGACGAAAAAACCCAATTTCACCTCACCTCATACCTAGAGTGTGAAGGAAAACAGAGTCGAGTCCGGTATTCCGACTGTCTGTGTTTGGACGACCGCGAGCAGGATAATGCCGCTCGTAGGAAACGCCCTGGAGTTTAGCAGGTTCTCCGCTCACCACATTTATGTCTTGTATTTGTTTGTCATGAAACTAAATAAGTTTGAACTCAACTATGCCTTCGTCTTCATCAACGCACACTTCATCTTAACGTGAGCTAATTCCCCACTTGACTCATATCCACGCGTTGTCGTTCAGAATAGAAAATGTGTTAAGATGTGCTAAGACGTGTTAAGAACATTACATACCAGAAACTGTAGGCATCAAGTGGCATGGGACCGGTATAGTCCCGTGGTCGATACCCGAACTGGTATGATGTTAGGCGACGTACCGCTCGATATTGTTCCAATTAAATACATGCGCGTGTCTGCGTGCGTGCGTGCGTATGCGTGTGTGCTTACTGAGATAATATGGTTTGAAGATGAATACCCCACTTAGACAAAGTGTACCGACTCCGAGATGACCCAATCTTATGTCCTCAATGCAGAGGGGCGGTGGGGTAGCCTAGTGGGTAAAGCGTTCGCTTGTCATGCCGATGACCCGGGTTTGATTGCCCATATGGATTACAATAAGTGAAGCCCATTTCTGGTGTCCCCCTCCGTGATATTGCTGGAATATAGCTACAAGAGGCGTAAAACTAAACTTCTCGTAAAAGGCGACAAACGGGAGCGGGTGGTCAGGCTCGCTGAAGATCTGGGTTAGAATGTATCTTCAGTAACCCATGCTTGTCGTAAGAGGCGACTAACGGGATTGCGTGGTCAGGCTCGCTGACTTGGTTGATACGTATCATCGGTTCCCAATTGCGTAGATCGATGTTCATGCTGGCGATCACTGGATTGTCTGCTCCAAACTCGATTATGTACTGACCGCCGCCATATAGCTGGAATATTGCTGAGTGTGGCATAAAACTAAATTCACTCACTCACTCACATTAAAGCGTCGGCCTTTTTTAGTCGGCCTCACCACAATAAATTCAGTGCTTGTTTCCAGTATCGTACAAAGCTGACCTTTTTGGCATTTATTACATGGACTCCATTAAAAATGTATTCTCCCATTTCATACGTGTTTATTATTTTATTCAATATATCTGTTATTTTTTAAATCTAATTTTAAGACACCGTTAGGTTATAAATTGAAACTGATACTTGCACCGTCTCATCCAGTAGCAGAATAAGGGTCAGTGGGGTAGCCTAGTGGTTAAAGCGTTTGCTGGTCACGCTGATGACCCGGGTTCGATTCCCCAAGTGGGTACAATGTATTGAGCCCATTTCTGGTGACTCCCGGCGTGATATTGCTGGAATATTGCTAAAAGCGGCGTCAAACCACACTCACTCACTCACTCAGTTGCAGAATATATTGAGAAATCGTGTCTTATTATATAAGCTAACCATTACCTCAAAATTTTATTTTAATCTTATAATATTTACAGTTGTTTTTTTCAGGAACAAGCCGTGTTTTGATTCTGGGTACTACCGCATTACTAAGACAGACTGGTATATACATGTATACTGCCACTCTCACCACAGCGGCAACGCGTGCGGCGAGCAGCGCAAGCGTAAAAGAACAGACAAACTAGTCTATACTAAAGATGGCCTCGTTTTGGAATCTAATCTATTAATAGTCACCAATATTCGGATTTTCCATCACGTTTCGTTTCCGAGTAATCCTGATAGTATTAACATGAAATAGACATTGACAGTGCTCGATTGGGGCGGCGCTTGTCAAACACCCAGCCCTTAATGAGGACAACTAAAACAATTCTGGTTTCTATGTCAGACGAATACTGTCAACAGGAACTGCAAGCTTGTCTGGGCTGCTATGGTAAGGAATAAGGAGCGTTGCTATAAACTTGCTTATTTAAATTGATATCAGACCTGCTTGACTGGGATTGGTGCTCTGACACTTGGACTCCCGTAATATGAATGGGGTGATCAAGCTGTTTGTTTCACCTGTCTTCCGCCATGGTGTCTTTACCTTAGGTGAGGTGAAATGGGGTTAACGTCATACTTAGAATATTTCGCTCATATTACGACATGCATGCGTTTGTATGTGTGGCTGCTTGTACTAGCCCAGTCTTTAAAAAGCTGCATGTTTTTACAGTGCTAGCTCACTGAGATACGATGCCGCAGTTAAGCATGAATACCCAAAATAGACACACTATACCGACTCCGATCCTGGTGTTTTTTTCAATATTTTTTTACAGGCATACATTATAGGATCATATACAGGTAGGCAGCAAACAGTACATGGTGAATCATCTGAGGTACGTAACATGTAAAAACATGTACACAGTATTATAGATTAATATACATCTATCCTAACAACAAGTGTTACGTTGACCAGAATTGAAGAAAACATTTGTTCAGTACCATTTGATAAATGGAGATATTTGGTAGCATCATTATACTTAATAGCTTCTTTTTTAATAAAATTGATATTAGGCAAATAGTTTCCAGTAGCACATTTGAATATACTTTGTTTGACTAGACTGACTGACTGACTGACAGAGTTGGTTTTACGCCGCTTTTAGCAATATTCCAGCAACATCACGGCGGGGAACACCAGAAATGGGCTTAACACATTGTACCCATGTGGGGATTCGAACCCGGGTCTTTGGCGTGACGATCGAGCCAACACTTTAACCACTAGCCTACTCCACCGCCCCTGTTTGACTAGAAGGATGATTACATTTATAGGATTATTATTTTCACCAAACAAAACCTTTTCAAACGTAAAATTTACTGATAGTTGAACAGCATGAAGCCATTTTGTTACTTCGTTCCATACTTTCTTTACATGCTCCCATTTCCATAAGCGTTGGCCAGTAGTTTCTAGATCTTTTTGGCAAAAGGAGCAAAGGGGTGATTGTTGCAAAATGTTGTGGATAATCCTATATTGTAGCCACCTAAGTTCAGTACTTATAGTACATTTGTTTGGTAAAATGTTGTGGATAATCCTATATTGTAGCCACCTAAGTTCAGTACTTATAGTACATTTGTTTGGGGAAAATTTGTAATACCTAAGTCCAGTATATTACATTTGTTTGGGAGTTGTGGATAATCCACCTAAGTTCAGTACTTATAGTACATTTGTTTGGTAAAATGTTGTGGATAATCCTATATTGTAACCACCTAAGTTCAGTACTTATAGTACATTTGTTTGGGATAATGTTGTGGATAATCCTATATTGTAACCACCTAAGTTCAGTACTTATAGTACATTTGTTTGGGAAAATGTTGTGGATAATCCTATATTGTAACCACCTAAGTTCAGTACTTATAGTACATTTGTTTGGGATGATGTTGTGGATAATCCTATATTGTAACCACCTAAGTTCAGTACTTATAGTACATTTGTTTGGGATAATGTTGTGGATAATCCTATATTGTAACCACCTAAGTTCAGTACTTATAGTACATTTGTTTGGTAAAATGTTGTGGATAATCCTATATTGTAGCCACCTAAGTTCAGTACTTTTGTTTAGTACATTTGTTTGGGATAATGTTGTGGATAATCCTATATTGTAACCACCTAAGTTCAGTACTTATAGTACATTTGTTTGGTAAAATGTTGTGGATAATCCTATATTGTAACCACCTAAGTTCAGTACTTATAGTACATTTGTTTGGGAAAATGTTGTGGATAATCCTATATTGTAACCACCTAAGTTCAGTACTTATAGTACATTTGTTTGGTAAAATGTTGTGGATAATCCTATATTGTAACCACCTAAGTTCAGTACTTATAGTACATTTGTTTGGTAAAATGTTGTGGATAATCCTATATTGTAGCCACCTAAGTTCAGTACTTATAGTACATTTGTTTGGTAAAATGTTGTGGATAATCCTATATTGTAACCACCTAAGTTCAGTACTTATAGTACATTTGTTTGGGATAATGTTGTGGATAATCCTATATTGTAACCACCTAAGTTCAGTACTTATAGTACATTTGTTTGGTATAATGTTGTGGATAATCCTATATTGTAACCACCTAAGTTCAGTACTTATAGTACATTTGTTTGGGATAATGTTGTGGATAATCCTATATTGTAACCACCTAAGTTCAGTACTTATAGTACATTTGTTTGGTAAAATGTTGTGGATAATCCTATATTGTAACCACCTAAGTTCAGTACTTATAGTACATTTGTTTGGGATGATGTTGTGGATAATCCTATATTGTAACCACCTAAGTTCAGTACTTATAGTACATTTGTTTGGGAAAATGTTGTGGATAATCCTATATTGTAACCACCTAAGTTCAGTACTTATAGTACATTTGTTTGGTAAAATGTTGTGGATAATCCTATATTGTAACCACCTAAGTTCAGTACTTATAGTACATTTGTTTGGGATAATGTTGTGGATAATCCTATATACCATTGTTCAACCATAGTACATTTGTTTAATGTTGTGGATAATCCTATATTGTACATTTGTTCATTACTTGTAGTACAATTGTTTGGGATAATGTTATATTCCATTCTTTGTAACCATCACTGTCTAAAATAAGTTCATTTGTACATTATAGTGACATGAATTCAAAGAGTTTATGTAAATGTTTATTTCCCGCAGAATTATGGACCAACAAGTACTTGCCCAATGGCTAAGCCACGCCTAAATTTCTCATCAGATGTATGTTGCTAACCATTTATTCAGCTCTAAAGTCCTGTATATTCAGACCTGCACTTTCAAACAAATTCATTCCTAGCAGTACTATATTCATTACACGCCTCCCACATTAAGTCATTTACATTCCCAGCTTTCATTCATTAAACATTTGAAACACTCATTCGTTTTATATGTTTAACATTCTGTCTTTTTACATTTGAAACATTCTTCTAATTTACATTTACATCTTTATTTTACATTTCAAAAGGGGCGGTGGGGCAGCCTAGTGGTTTAATCGTTGGCTCGTCACGCCGAGGATCCGGGTTCGATTCCCCACATGGGCACAATGTGTTAAGCACATTTCTGGTGTCCCCCGCCGTGATATTGCTGGAATATTGCTAAAAGTGGCGTAAAACTAAACTCAGTCAGTCAGTTACATTTCAAAAATTCATTTTCATTTAATTCATTCATTTGAAACATTCATTCCATAAATATCTGAAGCTTTACGTTTCAAACATTCAGTGATTATATTTGACATGTGACGTTACTCCTGGGGCGGTGGGGTTGCCTAGTGATTAAAGCGTTGTCACGCCGAAGACCCGGGTTCGATTCCTCACATGGGTACAATGTGTGAATCCCATTTCTAGTGTCACCCGGACGTACTATTGATGGAACATTGCTAAAATTTACTTAAAAGTAAACTCACTCAGTCACTCGCTTTACTCCTCAAGACGTCTGGTACCCGTGAAGATCTGAGTTCGATTCCCCAGATGGGTACAATGTGTGGAGCCCATTTCTGGTGTCCCCCAGCCGTGATATTGATGGAATATTCCTGTCGGCTTAAATCTAAACTCCCTTTACTACTGGAGACGCCTGGTCTTGGCTTTAGTTGTATTTACTGCTGATATCTCTCTCAATTTGCTATATTTTAACTTAGGGACCGTTCATAATTTATGGCTAGGGGTGTGTGGGATGTGGGGTGATGATGATTTTATGGAGTAACATGTACAATGTGGTGACACCCCCAAAAAAAAAAATTTAAAAAATATCTACAAAGTAGTAAGTGACCCCTGCATGTCGTGTACAAATTCAATGCCCCCACACTATTTTTTAAGCATACTGTTTTAATAAATTTATATACAAAATTGCTGACCCCCCTAGTACATGTATACAAACTTGATGACCCTTCCCACTTCCCCAGAACAAAATGGGTGAACCCCCTTAAAATCATCATCAACCCCCCACCCTTATCCATAAATTATGAACGGTCCCCTAGTCTGAAGAATTAGGAGAGCAGACATATAACCCCGAAGACAGTATTCTAAAGAGTATTTATGTTTCATTCACAATCTTGCAGCTGCAGGTTACGAAAGATGGCAGCTAAATTCATAGAGACACACCTCACGTGTGCTATCTGCAAGGACGAGTTCAAGGAACCACATGGTCTCCGTTGCATGCATAGTTTCTGTCTGGAATGCCTACGTGAACACATTCAATCAAATGTAAAAACCAAGGGCAAGAAAAAGAAAAAGAAACCTCCAGGAATTTATTGTCCAGAATGCAGACTGTTTGTCGAGATACCGGACCCAACTCAGCCCCGAGAGGTATGGGCGGAGCAGTTTCCTGTTGCTTTCGCCCTGAAAAACATCCAGGGAGAAATACAAAGTAAGTATGGTAAACCTTTAACAATCTAGGGCCGGTTGTTCAATACACGGTTACCTTAACTGCCGGTTAACTCCTTACTGCAGGTTAACTCCTTACAGCCGGTTAACTCCTTACTGCCGGTTAACTCCTTACTGCCGGTTAACTCCTTACTGCCGGTTAACTCCTTACTGCAGGTTAACTCCTTACTGCAGTTTAACTCCTTACTGCCGGTTAACTCCTTACTGCCGGTTAACTCCTTACTGCCGGTTAACACCTTACTGCCGGTTAACTCCTTACTGCAGGTTAACTCCTTACTGCTGGTTAAATCCTTACTGCCGGTTAAATCCTTACTGCCGGTTAAATCCTTAACCGGCCTTTACTCAACCGAACGTTAAATATGCTTTTTAAACACTTACCTAAAACCGGATTATTCTTCACACCCTATCAGTTTATCTTTTTGACAGCATTGTGCCTTTTTTTGTTCCCATTGGGGATAGCTGATTTTGGATTATGAATTGCATTGTGCTTTTTAAAGATCCAGACAACAATGAATGCAGAAATAAATAGTAAAGACTGTGATGTACTTTCTTTGTAGGTGGTGATGTTGTATTGTCAGAAACAAACCACGGTGATGGCAGCAAAGAAGATAAGGTCGCTGACGAGAGTTCTGCGAAAGGAACACCATCACAGCTGCGGGAGGCAGACTGGAACACCACTACCAACACTGATAGGGGTGACAAGAAACAGGACCGGAAAGCCACTCGGAAAATGACAGGAAGCTTTCATAAAGTGATCCCTCTTCAACCCGACAAGACGCAGCCAGATGCCAATGACCTCGCTGTTTTGGTGCAGGGTGACAAGAAATTGATCGTCGTCCCAGATTATGCGAATCACAAATTGCTTCTTTTGACCTTAAATATTGACATGGAAGTGGCACAAAGAAGTAAGTATGATCTTGGCGCCAAACCTTGGAGGATTTGTGAGGTGGAACAGAACCAGGTTGCTGTCACTGTGAGCGAGCCATCGGGGTTGTGATATGTACCGTGGACGTTGAGCGATGTCATGTTGAGGAGAAATTGTTTTTTCCAACCAAAAAGCAGTATGATGGAATCTGTGCCTTACCTGGTAGAAAATTTGTTGCGACTGTTGATGACAGTGTTGATATAATACAAGACAACGGCACAGTGCTGAAAGAGCATGACATTAAGGCTCCTCACGTCAAAGATGCAGACAATTCCTACGTCACCGTCACACCAAACAACACCATCGTTGTCACAGACTGCCGGGGCAACACAGCATCTTGCCTCAAACAGGATGGTATTAGGACGTGGTGGAAAAGCATAAAGTGCTTAGGCGTGGCTTGTGACAGTGATGGGAATGTTTACGTTGCCGAAACCGGCCAAGGATCCATCGTGCAGTTCTCCAGTAGGGGAAGGCTAGTATGCAGGGTGATAGGGGAATCAGAACACCTCAGTAAGCCCTCGGGAGTAGCAGTTGATAACATGGGTTATCTGTATGTTATCTGTAACTCTAAGGATGTCACAGTGTGGAAGCTCGGACATTAGGCTGTGTGAGTGTATGATAGAATGGCGAGGGCGCCAGACTGTTTTGTCCATTGGGTGACAGAAAGAGATGACCTGAGACTGTAGACCACATCGAGTGTCTTGACCCAAGAAGGAGAAGGTGACTTTGGATCCCATCAGAGTGTCTTGGTCTGAAACGGAAAGTATACATGTTGTGAATCCATTTAGGGTGTCTCGACCGAAGACAGAACGAGCACCTGTCTATGAGTCCCTTGTCTTGTGGTAGACATGCTGTGTCTTTAGGTAGAAATTGACTTCAAGGTTGGCATTCACGTGTCATATTTTGCGTTTATTTGATTACATGATTACATAGTTATTGAGTACAGGTACAGTCCGTTTGAGTCAGAAACGGACCGATGAATTGCAAATTTTATCATTGTACAGAATTGCCACATAAATATGAATAGTACACATGTTTATCATTTACTAATACCCAACAGCTTTCTTATATTTGAAAATTTTCCGGACTCCACCCGAAAAGTTCTTTAAGAAACTATCATTAAAATTTTGACACAGTTGACTATTTGTTACGAGGGAGGAGGGCAGAGAAAGGGACAGCCAGGTGTGCGAGAAAGGATGGAGACGGCACAGCACAGGCTAATGAATCAATAACTTGGTGGGCACTTGTGCACGTGCTTCTCTAACACCTGATAGGGGGTAATCATGTGGCTCAGAAGTCATCTTAGTCCATATTAGTGTTGGGAATTGGTTGAAATCTCATACTAGTAATTGATGATTGCTTCATTACTAACGAACAATCATCGATATAAATTGGTTAGCGTCAATTTTCAGATTTTCATATCCAGGTTGTTATTGCAGATATGTATAACATGATGCACCTTGCTACTTTAAAGTGATGTTGATATATCATGAACATAAACCTTCTGGGGTCTTCAAGAAATATTCAGTCATGACGTTTCAGTTAGTGAAGTGAGTTTTCTAAGAATTAAACAAGTTTTCAGGCCCTGACAACTTCGAAGTTATGTTCCATCGTCAAGTGTTTCAAAGACTAAAACAGCAGTTTTAGCATTTTCTGAGAAAATGAGATCGATTGCTTGGTTGTTTGGTCACTTCGACCAATCTTCGATTATTTCAATTAATCGGAACACCACTGGTCCATAGCTATGGAAAGGATGAACTTGTGAGACATCCTCTCGACATCGACATCATAGTGACCGAAACAGAGATAAGAGACCGTTCATAATACATCTCACGGGGGGTCGGGTCTGTGTGTGTCGATGATGATTTTGATAATTTTTATGGAGAAGCTTGTACAATGTGAATGCATGGCAGCCTTTAAAAGTTATGTACAAAGTAAGTGACGCCCCCCCCCCCCCCCTGCATGTCATGTACAAAATCAATGACCACCCCATACATTTTAAGCATATTAATTTTCATATTAAAATGTACAATGTGTACAAAATTTATGTAGACAAAATTGATGACCCCCCTACCTCCCAAGAACAAAATGCGTGACCCCCCTTGAAGTCACAATCATCACGCACCCCTCACCCCCCACTTATCCCGCCATAAATTATGAACGGTCCCTAATCACATCTTGCTCTCTCATTGAGATCATATTGATACAGCCAGATTTTGAGCTTTTCACTGACCCCTGTGAGCTCAAGGTTCGTTTAGATTTATTTTAGATTATTTACACTACTGCGCTGACTATACGTACAATCTGGATGTTCAATGCCCAGAATACACGCGCTCATACCGCAATGGCTAAAGGCAGATAAACCAGTATACAGTTTATTTGGAAACATGCTACTGGTTGACAACCCACTGAAGAGAAACGGAAAGAAAATTATTGTTTTGATCGCATATTACTGTAATTTCATATTTTGTCTTGTACCCTACGTTTCTGTTTTCCTTCTGGTGAGAACTAGCCTTTGCACGTGTTCATGACGGTGGCCACAGGTGGGGCTGAATAGGCTGATATCATAACTATCTGATAGTGATTCATAAACACGACTGTTGTCGTATCTCATGATAGCAAGCAATGAAGTGTAGGGTCCGCCGTCATACCGAGCAGTTGGTGAGCATGACGTTAACAGACGAACAAACACATGCTCATAATATCTGCTGTTAGCAGACGTGTCTTATGGTTGTGGATATAGTTTTGTGGTCAGTATTTTATACCAGTCAGCACTCGTGCTCTGAATCAATGCAGTATTTATATTTACTCTTTAACATTTCTTAACATTCCTTGAATTAACTAGTTTTCTCTACATCTAGTAGAGTGCTAGGTTTTTTATGGCAATGCGTATCTGTAAATGATTCTTCTATCTGTTTTGTTTTGTTCTTCTTAAGACTTTCAGTAGTTTCTGCTGACAAATGACATGGTCATTTCCTCTGGCCCAATCAATTTAAATAGAGAGACTTTGAAGAAGCTCCACCTCAACCAACCCAGTCACCAAGTTAGTAAAGCTAGAAAAACCCATCTAACAAAACCTCCAAGTTAGCTAGTAACTCCCCAGACAGTTGCACTAGGGCATCCAAAATCAGAGTTTGAAGAGCACATCAAAACAATGATCGGCTAAACATTTGAACTGTCACTTTCAGCTAACATAAAATCTGTACTGCAAAAGCTGAATCATGGACATGTTTTACAAAGAAATTATCATCAAGCTTCACCTCAACCAAACAAATTCACAATTAGCACTGGTAAAGTTAAGAACAAAACCTCAGAAATGGCAGACACTAGGTGGCACTGTTGCGCCCAGAACCAGAGTTTGAAGATCCCCTCAAGATGGTAATGAGCTTAACGCTGGAACTTGCACCTTTAGCTGACACAAAACCTTTACTAAGAAAAAGGAAAATACTCCTCTTTCACATCAACGACCTGTATAAAAAAGCCGAGTTACAACAAGGCTGCAATCTGACACTTACAAAAGCTTACCTAGACTCACACTTAGTCTCCGAATATAGTCAATTTTGATAACTACCTGAACCCATTTAAGCTGAACATGAGATTCAGAACCTTGGGAAATCTTGACTTAGGGGATAACTGTACTGTGTGTGACGAATTGGGGACGTACACCGGTGGTTATATAGCCGCAAATTTAGTTATATCGGCGACACGTAAGCTATTTATATTTAATGATGTATTTATGCTAGTACGTGCTTTTTCTTTGCTAGCTGTATTCTAAGACTATATAGACAGTGTAATACATGTATACGTAAGCAATGTTATACCTTTATGTTCAAATATTTTCAGGACCCGTGAAGATCCGGGGTAGAATAGGTCTTCAGCAACCCATGTGCTTGCCATAAAAAGGCGACTATCTTGTCGTAAGAGGCGACTAACAGGATCGGGTGGACAGTTTCGCTGACTTGGTTGACACATGTCATCGGTTCCCAATTGTGCAGATCGATGCTCATGCTGTTGATCACTGGATTGTCTGGTCCAGACTCGATTATTTACAGACTGCCGCCATATAGCTGGAATATTGCTGAGTGCGGCGTAAAACTAAACTCACTCACTCACTCACTCAAATATTTTCAGAGTTATTCAAACATTCCTCTGAATGGATAAATAAAGTGGCTGTCATCTGTGACCACAAGTAGCGTTGTGTTGTGTGCGCTCCACCCACCCACCAACATTCACCCATATCCGCTACTATGTTTGATTAAACAGAAAAAGAAAATGTCGAAATTTATCAGCGTCAAGCTTTCAATCTTGTTGAGTATAGTCCAACTGTACAATCAATTCTGCTTTTAGCAGAGGTTTCTTATGAATGTGGAAAGGGGTTTGTCGCTTCCATTAGAAAGTCAGCTTGGTTAAAAGTCTTCAAAGGCATTTAGAAGTTGGTGTGTTAATACAAGACAAATCTTATGGATAACAAGAAGGGGCAAGAACCAGCCCGGAAACGTCATGATAAACAAATAAACAAGTTGTTATCCATAACATTTGTCTTGTGTCAGTTTAGTTGGACGTGCAGTTTAATGAAAAATTTATGCCCACACATTTTTTTCTCAATTATGTCAGCATAAAAACTTATGCGTTTTTATAAGATATGTCTGATTTCTATGTCATACTGTCAACCCTCAAACAAAGACCACTGTATCGGGTTTCGGTTTGGTACAGCTGAGTGGATAACGCCTCCAGGGATGACAACACTTTCAACTGGAAGCGACGGAAGTGCTTGGGTTAGGTCGTGAGTGTGTTGGTGACACACGTGACTATCACCCGATCAAAGGAAACATCCCATCTCTGAGCTCCGCACAGTTTAGTACAATGAACTTGAATTTCCGACAGTCGCTATATAAATTAGATAAATTGAGATAAACAATATTTTTCATAGATGGCGCTTGTGGCTCATTTGTCTGAGGTGGCGCAATTCGTGGTGCTGAGTGGTATGCCTAAAGTTTGCCAGGGTCTTGTAACCGTGAGATAGAGTGACTGAGTGAGTATGGTTTTACGCCGTTTTCACAATATTCCAGCAATATCATGGCGGGGACACCAGAAATGGGCTTCACACATTGTAACCATGAGGGGAATCGAACCCGGATCTTCGACGTGACGAGCGAACGTGTTAACCACAAGGCTACCAAACCGACCCTCCTGGGGTCTAATCCAATATTCGGTGTGAATATGTTTCTCGTTTTCAGAACAACATGGTAAACGTGGTGAACATCCGAGATATGACACATAGTTTACCTCCCTGCCCGTGACGTCACTGAGTGAACGCTCTCACCAGTGTACTAAATGCTGAAGGACTGCACAGGTCAGATTGGGTCAAAGTTACCCGTCAGGTTAATGACAAAATAAAACTGAATGGTTGCCATGCCTGAAACAGTTATCCCTCATGGTCACAGATTACATTGTACACGTCAGGTCATTATGATTAGAGTGAGTGAGTGAGTGAGTGCCGGTTGAGGTGTGACTAGTTGAGTTGTTGAGTTGCTGGGTGAGTTGTTGGTTGTTGAGGTGTGACTGGTTGAGTTGTTGACTGAGGAAGTGGTGGTTGAGGTGTGACTGGTTGAGTTGTTGACTGAGGAAGTGGTGGTTGAGGTGTGACTGGTTGAGTTGTTGATAGAATGAGTGGTGGTTGAGGTGTGACTGGTGGTTGAGGTGTGAGTTGTTGAGTGGGTAAGTGGTGGTTGAGGTGTGACTGGTTGAGTTGTTGAGTGAGTGAGTGATGGCTGAGGTGTGAGTGGTTGTGTTGTTGAGAGAGTGAGTGGTGGTTGAGGTGTGACTGGTTGAGTTGTTGAGTGAGTGAGTGATGGTTGAGGTGTGACTGGTTGAGGTGTTGAGTGAGTGAGTGGTGGTTGAGATGTGAGTGGTTGTGTTGTTGAGAGAGTGAGTGGTGGTTGAGGTGTGACTGGTTTTGTTGTTGAGAGAGTGAGTGGTGGTTGAGGTGTGACTGGTTGAGGTGTTGAGTGAGTGAGTGATGGCTGAGGTGTGAGTGGTTGAGTTGTTGAGTGAGTGAGTGGTGGTTGAGATGTGAGTGGTTGTGTTGTTGAGAGAGTGAGTGGTGGTTGAGGTGTGACTGGTTGAGTTGTTGAGTGAGTGAGTGATGGTTGAGGTGTGACTGGTTGAGTTGTTGAGTGAGTGAGTGGTGGTTGAGATGTGAGTGGTTGTGTTGTTGAGAGAGTGAGTGGTGGTTGAGATGTGAGTGGTTGTGTTGTTGAGTGAGTGAGTGGTGGTTGAGGTGTGACTGGTTGAGTTGTTGAGTGAGTGAGTGATGGTTGAGGTGTGACTGGTTGAGTTGTTGAGTGAGTGAGTGATGGTTGAGGTGTGACTGGTTGAGTTGTTGAGTGAGTGAATGCTGGTTGAGGTGTGACTGGTTGAGTGAGTGAGTGGTGGTAGAGGTGTGAGTGGTTCAGTTGTTGAGTGAGTGAGTGGTGGTTGAGGTTTCACTGGTTCAGTTGTTGAGTGAGTGAGTGGTGGTTGAGGTTTCACTGGTTCAGTTGTTGAGTGAGTGAGAGGTGGTTGAGTTGTTGAGAGAGTGAGCTGTTGAGTGAGTGAGTGAGTGGTGTCCCATGTGGCACGACTCCGCTGTAAAATTGCTGACAGGTAAAATTAGCCACGACACTCCGTGACTTTCATAACAGATGTGCTCGAAAACGGAAACTAAGTTGACACTACCAACAATTACTGTCACATTAACAGCCCCCGTAACGGTTTATCTCGCGGAGGAGATAGGTGTTACTGCCTCATTCCCGCGTAGGAATATCTGAAGCACTTGCTCTGAGTCCGCGTGTGGAAACAGTGCGTGTTTATGAAGTCGGAGTGAGGGACAGAGGCTACTAACAGACGTTGCTTGGTCAAGCCAGGACAGTGTCCGGAATGGATTTATCTATTATGCCTGTTGTGTTGTCATTGCTGCTCATAGGAATTAGCTGTGAGTATTGTGAATTAGTGTGTGATCACTGTCGGAAGCCCAGCTTCGACATGACAGCGTTATTCAAATGATGATACCCAGGTATCGCGCGAGATTGTCACGTTTTTCTGTTTCTGTTGCAAAGTCGTGACATAGCATGATCATTTATGGCCTAAGAATGAAATGTGGTGGAATGATTTTGTGTAATAAGTTTCCAATTTGCATATGCAGATTTTAGCGATTGGTAATTTTGATGGGTCATTCAGTTGGCTGGTTGTTGTGGTGTGTTGGTGGGTGTGTTGGTGTGTTGGTGGGTGTGTTGGCGTGTTGGTGGGTGGGTTGGTGTGTTGGTGGGTTGGCGTGTGGGTGGGTGGGTTGGTGTGTTGGTTGGTGTGTTGGTTGGTGTGTTGGTGGGTGTGTTGGTGGGTGGGTTGGTGTGTTGGTGGGTAGGTTGGCGTGTTGGTTTGTGTGTTGGTTGGTGGGTTGTTGTGTTGGTGGGTGTGTTGGCGTGTTGGTGGGTGGGTTGGTGTGTTTGTGGGTGGGTGGGTTGGTGTGTTGGTTGGTGTGTTGGTGGGTTAGCATGTTGGTGGGTGGGTTGGAGTGTTGGTTGGTGTGTTGGTGTGTTGGTATGTTGGTGTGTTGGTGGGTGGGTTGTTCTGTTGTTGTGTTGCTGTGTTGGTGTGTTGTTGTGTGTGTTGTTGTGTTGGTGTGTTGTTGGGTGGGTTGTTGTGTTGTTGTGTTGCTGTGTTGGTTGGAGTGTTGGTTGGTGTGTTGGTTGGTGTGTTGGTGGGTGGGTTGTTCTGTTGGTGTGTTGGTGTGTTGGTGTGTTGTTGGGTGTGTTGTTGGGTTGGTTGGTGGGTTGGTGTGTCGGTTGGTGTGTTGGTGGATGGGTTGTTGTGCTGGTGGGTGTGTTGATTGGTGTGTTGGTGGGTGTGTTGATTGGTGTGTTGGTTGGTGTGTTGGTTGGTGTGTTGATTGGTGTGTTGATTGGTGTGTTGGTGAGTGTGTTGATTGGTGTGTTGGTGGGTTTGTTGGTTGGTGTGTTGATTGGTGTGTGTGTTGGTTGGTGTGTTGATTGGTGTGTTCGTTGGTGTGTTGATTGGTGTGTTGATGGGTGTGTTGGTGAGTGTGTTGATTGGTGTGTTGGTGGGTGTGTTGGTTGGTGTGTTGATTGGTGTGTGTGTTGGTTGGTGTGTTGATTGGTGTGTTGGTTGGTGTGTTGATTGGTGTGTTGGTGGGTGTGTTGATTGGTGTGTTGGTTGGTGTGTTGATTGGTGTGTCGGTTGATGTGTTGGTGGGTGTGTTGATTGGTGTGTTGGTTGGTGTGTTGATTGGTGTGTTGGTTGGTGTGTTGGTGGGTGTGTTGACTGGTGTGTTGGTTGGTGTGTTGATTGGTGTGTTGGTTGGTGTGTTGATTGGTGTGTTGATTGGTGTGTTGGTGGGTCTGTTGGTGGGTGTGTTGGTGGGTGTGTTGATTGGTGTGTTGATTGGTGTGTTGGTGGGTGAGTTTGTGGGTGTGTTCGTGGGTGTGTTGGTGGGTATGTTGATTGGTGTGTTGGTTGGTATGTTGGTGGGTGGGTTGTTGTGTTGGTGGGTGGGTTGTTGTGTTGGTTGGTGTGTTGATGGGTTGGTTGGTGGGTTTGTGTGTTGGTTGGTGTGTTGGTGTGTGTGTTGGTGTGGTTGTGGGTTGGTTGTTGTGTTGGTGGGTGTGTTGGTGTGTGTGTTGGTGTGTTGGTGGGTGGGTTGGTGTTGGTTGGTGTGTTGGTGGGTGTGTTGGTGGGTGGGTTGGTGCGTTGGTGTGTTGGTGGGTGGGTTGTTGTGTTGGTGGGTTTGTTGGTGGGTGGGTTGGTGTGTTAGTGGGTTGGTTGGTGTGTTGGTCGGTCGAATCTGGACCAGACAATCTAGTGGTCAACAGCATGAACATCGATCTGCGCAATTGGGATACGATGACATGTGTCAACCAAATCAGGGAGCTTTACCACCCGATCCCGTTAGTCGCCACGTACGGCAAGCATGGGTTGCTGAAGATCACTTCTAACCCGGTTGATCTTCACTGGTCGATGGGTCATTTGAAACTATATGACGACTCATCGCTTCGTTGTAGAGACATTCATGAAATGACGTCACCCCTTGTTCCTGATGTAACAAACTGATCAGATGACGTCATCTGAACAGTTAATTAGTAATTAGGGTTGATATTACCGAACGTTTCGTTACATTTTCTCTAAAGAAGCAGTGATTAATGCAGACCAACTTCGACTTACAGTCACTGTGATATCGTGCTGCATTTAGGGGAAACTTGTCTCTCGTGCGTGGTGGAACGCTGTCGACCACCTGCCAGTCCAGTGATGCATGTCCACCCGATACCAGGTTTAGTCAATGCCTTCATCATTTCTGTGTCTTTGTCGGTAAATACTGTCAAACACACCCTCCTATCCATGACAGCAGACAAAATGAGAATCACCTGCTGGGTAGCCGATCCAAACGTTTACAATCAATTGCTATCGAGTGAGGAGTGAGTTTAGTTTTACGCCGCACTCAGCAATATCCCAGCTATATGGTGGCGGTCTGTAAATAATCGAGTCAACCATGTGTCAACCATGTCAGCGAGCCTGACCACCCGATCCCGTTAGTCGCCTCTTACGACAAGCATAGTGGCCTTTATGGCAAGCACATGGGTTGCTGAAGACCTATTCTACCCCGGATCTTCACGGGTCCAGTTGCTATCGACACCAAGGACATTTCCAATTTAACGTTGTGCTGACCCAGTTTCAAACATGACCTTTCATCTGGTCAGTATTTCGATCGCCGTACTGTGACTTTGATGCTGAAGGGGCATAAGTGCTTTTAACTGTTTAAAGCAACAACAGGAAATGGTTAACTATTTGATAATGAAACACAGTGGTTCTGTCACGATCTGTCTAAACACAGGTTCTTGAAACATCCGGTACACATCCTGTCATGAGTCTTGGGAGTACCCAGGAAAGAAATGAGAGGGTGGTTTGGGGGTATGTTACCTCTTGAACCCCTCATTGCACTAAAGGATCTCTCGCTCGATGCCGATGTCACGCCATGTTGGCATCAATGTAGCATGAGAGTTATGCCCCTTTTATAGAAAGGGAGATAAATCTATAACGTACCACATGTAAAATATATTGCCGAAAAAAAAAGTGTAAGCACGTGCCTAAAGTGCAGGCACGCTACTGACTGCATTCCGGTGTCCGTTTATCATAAAACTGGGACCCTATATAACTTTGTGATATCAAAAATGATTCTTAACAAACTTTGAGTAGTATAGTTTTACCGCTCCTAAGAGTACTAGTGTCCGACAGTCCACGAGGTCACGTTACATGTAGCCCGCCTACAAGTTAAGGTGGATTGCAATACCTGGGTAGTCCAGTTCCAACACCAGGACAGTTTCTCTTCTCTAAACAATGTGTGTACGGTTGACACACAATCATCTCCCGGGATCGTACAAACTGTATCTATGTCCCAGTTTACGTGACCCCAAAACGAGGTCACTGTTGGGTGCCTCCAGGATTCTTCAGCTTAGCTGTACATACTGAACTGCGATATTTGAATGAGTGAGTGAGTATGGTTTTACGCCGCTTTTAGCAATATTCCTGCAATACCACGGCGGGGGCACCAGAAATAGGCTTCACACATTATATCATGTTAAGAATCGATCCCGGGTCTTCGGCGTGACGAGCGAACACTTTCACCACTGGGTTACCCCACCGCCCCCTGATATCTGAAGGCCATTTGCAGCGACTTGTGGTGGAGAGGAAGCAGACTATGAGACTAAAAGAAAGTAAGGAACCTAAATATTTCTTACTGACAGGCGCAAGAGGCGACTAACGGGATCGGGTGGTCAGGCTGACTTGGTTGACACATGTCATCGGTTCCCAAATACGTAGATCGATGCTCATCCTGTTGATCACTGGATTGTCTGGTCCAGACTCGATTATGTACAGACCGCAGCCATACAGCTGGAATATTGCTGAGTGCGGCGTAAAACTAAGCTCAGTCACTCACTCACTTACTGACAGGACCAACCTTGCAACAACATAATTACGGGGCAGACATTAACCTCAAAACTGATATTGTGTGTGGATGACGTTTCAGAATTTAAATATCGTGATTTGTCTTTAGTCTCAGGACATTTGCACTCATCTGCAATTCAAAACATGATCCTCGATTCCTGGTTGCCAACGGTACAAGAATCTGTATCGACACCTCGTAATAATGAAGTTATCCACAAAGTATGTCTATTTTGAACATTCTCGAGATGCATCCTCCCATGCTCTTTCTTTTGCTTAACGGGGCGGTGGGGTAGTCTAGTGGTTTAAGCGTTCGCTCGTCACGCCGAGGACTGGGTTCGATTCCCCACATGGATACAATGTGCAAACCGAAACATGAGTCTCATTAACCCATTCAGACAATGACCTACTTTTCAGCCGATCCTAATTTTCTCGTGTGAAGGTGAAAATAGACATCATAAACAACTATGGTTACACTGAATTTCAATTCCTGGTTTCATAAGAAAATGCTATTTACAAATTAATTTTAATTTTAAACTTTAATAGCATCGTATTTCTATATTTTATGGCGAGGAGTAGGCAGCATGACCTTAACTAAGACGTCACAGACTGCCCCTGTTTGATGAGGTCGTAAAATGATTCACAATGCATCTGGCTCAGTGGTTACATCTGTTATGTGTTTTTTGGGTAGTTCTGTAACGCACAATGTGATTTATATCAAGTCCGTACCAGACCGCCAAACTTTTCTAGCGGCAGAGCCTCGTTTTGAGATTTCCACGATTTCCAGGTTTCTGTTTGTCAGAGCTCGCTGTACGACAGAGCACGCTGCGCGACATGTTTGTAAGGGTTAGAAGGAGCGTAGTGTTGCAATATACGTGTGCTTAGATGTATCAAATAATACTGATTAATATTTATGTATCCAGTTAAATGAATTGGTCTCAAAATTCTGGACTGTTTATTGTACCAAGTTGCGCAATAGGACGGAACCCAGTCAACAGGAAACGAGACTGCTTTGTAATCAATATTTTGACTTGGAAGCACAGGCGCCCGACTCTGATATATTTATAAGCATGACCTATATATATATAAGATATAAGAAAGGTGTGTCAGTAAATCGAAACAAAATGGCGGCCCGGCTCGGCTCGGCTCGGTTTCGTTCTGACAAACGCTTCCATCGCTTTGACCGCTGAATAAACTGCACAATTTATACTCAGTTGACCACTGTAAAGTACCTTGCGTATCACAAACCTGATGATTTTATTCCCATTTAAAGATTTCAATAATTTTGCCGTCCATTCTCGGGCGAAGTCAGTACATATGCCCGGAAGTAAACAAATCTCAGGCTACAGACCCGCACCGAATAGTAGAGCGAGTCTCTAATTGGATAATATAGTTGCACGTTAAAGAGGTGGGAATAATAGAAGACGCTATCCAATCAGAGACTCGCCCATTTCTGGTGTCCCCCGCCGTGATATTGCTGGAATATTGGTAAAAGCGGCGTAAAACCAAACCTTCCCACTCACACTTTTGCGTAACATTTTTTTTCCAATTTTGTTGCAGACGCCCAAGAACTCGTGCTTAATCCGAACACTACGATTGTGATGAATTCACCAAACAAAGGATTAGTAATAAACTGCGAGGTTCGAGGAATAACTGACGGGCAAAGAGCAAACGTACAATGGTTGGACACAAAGGGCAATGTCATAGGACCTTACAGCAACATGCGAACACCCAGGTAGGAAAGCTGAAGTGCACGCTTCATATCATCGCACGTTGATTTGATCTCTTTAATACTCTCAATGTTTCTTACAATTATACGGGATCGGGTGGTCAGGCACGCTGACCTGGTTGACACATGTCATCGTATCCATGCTCATGCTGTTGATTACTGGATTGTCTGGTCCAGACTTGATTAATTACAGGCACCCGCCATATAGCTGGAATATTGCTGAGTAAAATTAAACTCACTCACTCACTCTTACAATTGTAGTTCAGTTAGAAACACTATATTTCTCTATATAAATATTCTCACTATAGCTCTCGCATTCACTTTCTTTCTCTCACAAGCAAGTTATTTCCCGCGTTTTTCTGTCTATTTTCTCCACAGTCACTATATTTCTCTCACAATCATAATTCTGGTATATATCTCACGTTTGGTATTCTTCTCTCTCATTCATTCCATATCCCCACATTCCTGCTATTTATCTAATATTTATTTTATTTCTCTCACATCCACTCTGTAATTCTCACATTCACACCATGCCTCTCAAAAACACTATACTTCAATCCTGCTGAATGTGTCACATTTACTATTTGTCTCTCGCATTCCAGCCATATATATCTCACTTTCATTCTATAATTGGCCCGGGAAGATCCGGGTTAAAATTGATCTTCAACAACCCCTGCTTGTCGTAAGACGCGACTAACGGGATCGGGTGGTCAGGCTCGCTGACTTGGTTGACACATGTCATCGGTTCCCTATTCCGCAGATCGATGCTAATGCTGTTGATCACTGATTGTCTGGTCCAGACTCGATTATTTACAGACCGCCGTCATGTAGCTGGAATATTACTGAGTGCGGCGTAAAACAACAAACAGCAATAACTGTAATCCTCTAACGCGGAGAAGAATATTTAGAATCTTTACTGTCATAAAAGTCACATGGAAATCAGTTCTTAAATACCTGTCCTAGCTGTAGAGTTCACCTAATTTACACGTCAAGTGGAATGTGTTACCTCCCCTTGTTGTTGCAGGATTTACTCCGAGCAGATGGGCAACCGTAACCGACTGCGGTTTGCAACGCTGGTGAATGGAGATGCAGGAACGTATACATGTCGAGGCACCGTCGTAGGCAAGACCATGACAAAAGATATACAGCTCAGTCTCAATAAAAACGGTAAATGGATATCGTGGTAATCATGAAACGCAAAGTTTGTGAAAATTATTGATATCTAACAAAGTCAATCTCGGTAAACATGGTAAATACATGTCCTAGTCCACATGAAAAAACTGTGAAAACTATAAATTTTAAGCAAAGTCAATATCGGAAAAGTAACTGTGTATCGTAATCTGCAATTAATACAAGTTTAAAATCAGTGGCATTAAAAATACTCTCCCACCCCACAAGACATATCTTTTTGAAGCAATGTAGACACCAGCAATGCCCGTGTCCATAACGAGTATTCGATGTATGTTTGTGAGAAATTGCTTAACTGGTGTTTGGATAAGCAGTGCCCGGCTTAACGGGCGTTGTTTTGTGAACTTCTTCAAAGGCGTTCAGAAGTTGGATTACGAAATACATGATCAGATACGTGGATAATAACAACGAGTGAGTGAGTTTAGTTTTACGCCGCACTCAGCAATATTTCAGCTATATGGCGGCGGTCTGTAAATAATCGAGTCTGAACCAGACAATCCAGTGATCAACAGCATGATCATCGATCTGCGCAACTGGGAACCGATGACATTTGTCAACCAAGTAGTGAACCTGACCACCCGATCCCGTTAGTCACCTCTTACGACAAGCATGGGTTACTGAAGATCAATATTCTAACCCGGACCTTCAAGGGTGTATAACAAAGAGGAGTGACGTTTTAGTATACATGTATATTCATTTGTAAAAACATATTTCAAGTTAGATATTCTGAACACCCCTCTCTGCTCTATTGTGAAAATAACCTGACCATAAACTGTGTTTATATTAGAATTTAAACTGAAACCTCGCTCCTTATTGTAAAGAAGTTCATTCATGTATCATATCTTTACTACTATGATCTCCATGTCTGGTGTCCTCCGCCGTGATATTGCTTGAATATTGCTAAAAGCGGCGTAAAACTAAACTCAGTCAGTCAGTACTACTATGATCTCTTGTTGCCCACAGACAGTTTAAAATGACTTAGTCACTCATATTTAAACTGGGCGGTGGGGTAGCCTAGTGGTTAAAGTGTTCGCTCGTCACGCCGAGGACCCGGGTTCGATTCCCCACATAGGTACAATGTGTGAAGCCCATTTCTGGTGTCCCCCGCGGTGATTTTGCTGGAATATTGCTAAAAGCGGCGTAAAACCAAACTCACTCACTCATAATATTTAAACCCACAACAGAATCCGTTGGCGTCTTTCTGAACTAGAGTCCACGTTTCAGTTCTGCCTTCTATCACGGCGCCCCCCACTTGGAGTACACCCACTGTCGGCAAGAGGTTCGAGTTGACATGCCTAGCGGAGGGCATTCCACCACCCTCCTTCATCTTTGACAAGGTGAGACATTGTTCCACTCAGTGGGACCCCCTACAAAGCGTCGACAGTACCTCGCGTTTACAACGAAAAAATATTTACCAAACTATTTCTGTGTGAATCCCTCAATCTGTAAAAAATTTATTTTTCTCATGGAATGTGACTATGAACCACTCATCCTCAAATTATCGAAATATATAAAACACTGTTTGTGCAGCATCAAATGATATTATGTGAAAGTTTCATTTATATTTGTAACATACCTCCGTGGTGTAGTGTTCTCTGTTTCCGCCTCGGAGAGCGGAAGGTCGCTTGTTTTTCCCCGACCGCGTCATAATAAAGTTCTGTTCTGTTCTGGTGTATGTTACTCATGCCTGGACGCTCGGCATTAAAGGGTACAACAAGGACTGTCGGCTCCATGTTTATTCATGTGTGGCTCAATTAAAACTGAAACAAGCTAGCACTATAAAACGACATGAAGGCATCACTGTAGAAAATAAAGTTCTGTTGTTTTTCTTGTATAAAGATTGCGTAGAAGATGGTCGGTACTTCATGTTTTGTTTCACTGCGTATTATATGACGATAAATCTTGTAAATGAATGCATTGTTAAATCTAGGTGTTGTTTTAATATGCCTGATACTGATAAGTTTGATTTTATGTTTATTGATGCTAATGTCTGTTTTTCATTTGCCCAAATCTGTTATTTAATTTTAAATGGTAGAAAGCATATATTATATGGATAACATATAATGTTTTATGGTATTTTACTGTTGTGGTATTATTTAATGAGAACTTAGAATACCATTTGGTTGTTTGTTGTTTAACGCAGCCCGTACAATATTCCAGCCATATGGCGGCGGTCTGTAAATAATCGAGTCTGGACCAGACAATCCAGTTATCAACAGCATGAACATCGATCTACGCAATTGGGATACGATGACATGTGTCAACCAGGTCAGTGTGGCTGACCACCCGATCCCGTATAATTGTAAGAAACATTGAGAGTATTAAAGAGATCAAATCAACGTGGGAGGATAGGAAGCGTGCACTTCAGCTTTCCTACCTGGGTGTTCTCGTGTTGCTGTAAGGTCCTATGACATTGCCCTTTGTGTCCAACCATTGGACGTTTGCTCACGTGCCCATTGTGCCCTTTGTGCCCAGCCATTGGACGTGTGCCCTTGTGCCCAGCCATTGGAGCCATTGGACGTGTGCCCTTTGTGTCCAGCCATTGGACGTGTGCCCCTTTGACTCCAGCCATTGGACGTATGCCCTTTGTGTCCAGCCATTGGACGTGTGCCCTTGTGCCCAGCCATTGGACGTGTGCCCTTTGTGTCCAGCCATTGGACGTGTGCCCTTTGTGCCCAGCCATTGGACGTGTGCCCTTTGTGCCCAGCCATTGGACGTGTGCCCTTTGTGTCCAGCCATTGGACGTGTGCCCTTTGTGTCCAGCCATTGGACGTATGCCCAGCCATTGACGTGTGTGTCCAGCCATTGGACGTATGCCCTTTGTGTCCAGCCATTGGACGTGTGCCCTTTGTGTCCAGCCATTGGACGTGTGCCCTTTGTGCCCAGCCATTGGACGTATGCCCTTTGTGCCCAGCCATTGGACGTGTGCCCTTTGTGCCCAGCCATTGGACGTATGCCCTTTGTGGTCCAGCCATTGGACGCCATTGTCCAGCCACTGGACGTGTGCCCATTGTGTCCAGCCATTGGACGTGTGGACGTATGCCCTTTGCCTTTGTGCCCAGCCGTTGGACGTATGACCTTTGACTCCAGCCATTGGACGTATGCCCTTTGTGTCCAGCCATTAGACGTATGCCCTTAGACTCCAGAGATTTGCTGAAAGATATTGAAAGGTTTTTAAATTGCGCCCCTGTCCATTTTGAGACGAAGTCCAAATCGTTTCCATGGGAACCGCCGAGAAAATAATAATAACAAAAAATGGGCGTGCATTTTAGATAGCAAAGGCACCACCTTTCGGTTCTGTTTGATATATCTACCAATTTTGTTGAGAAAATATTGAATGTTTTATTAGTTTTACTCCTGGTCAAAATGATTACGGACGGACGCCTGTACGGACAAGGCGTCGCCTACATTCCACCCTGTATCATCACCTATCCTCCCAGTGTTGTAATTAGTCCTTCAACCCTGCAACGTTCAGACGTTTCAACAAGAGTCATCAGCTGTGGAAAGAACAAATCATCTGATAGTTAAAAAGTCTTGATTTTTATAGACTTCCGAATCGTTTCAGGGACAAAATGGCTGAAAGGCACCACTTCAAGATGTCTTCCCTGACCGTTTCCATGCGTCACAGACCTTTTCGCAACATCGTTGTAACACGTCAAGTGTCTACACCTCAAAGAGGGCTATGTAGAAAAATAATTGGAAACCGTAGACTTTGTACAGATCTTTCACAGTTAGGCTTAGAACTTTTCAGCCTGCCCTCGTAATTGCATCTAATGTCCTCGTGCCGTCCTATGTTCCAGGACAAGTTCGCATTGTCGGGTGATAGATACAACGTGAGCGTCACAAAGGGTGTGAATGAAACCCAAGGGGTGTTGGTGATCGAGGACTTCCATTACGCCGACAGGGGAAACTACTCCTGCATCGCCTACAACCAGGCTGGTCACGTGACCCGGACTGTCTTCATCGACACACATGGTGAGTAGGGGTGAAACGGAACGCTCTTACCACGGTACGGTACGTATTGCGGTACAAGGCCTTCGGTTCGGTGTATGAGACATGATCATAATGCAGAAAATTGACAAGAGACAAATCTTACATTGTTTATAACATGGATAAAATATCACCATAATCTTTGTTTTTTGTTGAGATGTCATTTTATGACTGGATATTGACGGTAAGAAAACCGAAAATATCGAATTTTTGGATTGCATTACGGTATTACAAAATACCGCTGTGTACCGTTTCACCCCACATGGTGAGTGAGTGAGCAGTGTGGACTATCAACTCCAGAGTACGTGAGGGGCGGTGTGGGGTCGCCTAGTGGTTAAGGCGTTCGCTCGTCAAGTTGAAGACACGAGTTTGATTCCCCACATGGGCTCATTGTGTGAAGCCCATGTCTGGTGTCCCCCGCCGTGATATTGCTGGAATGTTGTTAAAAGCGGCGTAAAACCCAACTTACTGACCCAAAGTGAATGAAGTGCATCATGGTACAAGTAGAACAATAGCCGGAAGAATCTTACCAAGAATATCATCCGAAGTATGACCAGTTTGACCAGACCAGTAGGGCCCGTAAGTGGGTCACCGCACTTCACAAGACCTTAGTTCTTCCAGTGACAAACAATGTTTCATGCCATTTCAAATGGTCTCCTAGGAACCGATAAACCTTACAGGAATAACACATTCCCGATCCATTCATCCTCAAATTAGTCAACTATTACGACTGTCAACAGCTGTGACAGTCAACAAATGGTTGTATACTTGGTCCGGTCTAGTTAAGTCATGTTTGGCGGTCGCGCAAATTGGAACCAGAACTGGTTCTTGAATAAACGCTTGCCAACGGAAATCTGGTACCGGAAGTAAGCTGGGCCCAGTCTCGCATATCGCAAGTTGGCCCGCTCAAAGGGAGCCGGGAGCCAGCTTTGTACCGCAAAAGTGCCTTGCGAGACTTACAGACCCTATACGTCAGTGACAAAGAATGTATTTTATTAAGTCTGTTGGCGAACTGACCACGTTGATTTTCTTATTATTATCAGTGACGATTTCACTTTGGTCATAAAACAATATATGTTCTACTCCTTACAGTGCCTCCTGTTATTGAACCTATCCTAAACATATCGAAGCCAGAGGGCAGTGCTGCGGAGCTCGTGTGTGTTGCCAAGGGAAACCCTTCCTCGGTGGTGACATGGAGACTCAAGGGCTCCGGTGTCCCCATCACAGACAGTCGGGTGAGTTCTTCTCAGAGTGTTAGAGTGTGTTGCCAAGGGAAACCCTTCCCCAGTGGTGACATGGAGACTCAAGGGATCCGGTGTCCCCATCACAGACAGTCGGGTGAGTTCTTCTCAGAGTGTTAGAGTGTGTTGCCAAGGGAAACCCTTCCTCAGTGGTGACATGGAGACTCAAGGGCTCCGGTGTCCCCATCACAGACAGTCGGGTGAGTTCTTCTCAGAGTGTTAGAGTGTGTTGCCAAGGGAGACCCTTCCTCAGTGGTGACATGGAGACTCAAGGGCTCCGGTGTCCCCATCACAGAGACAGTCGGGTGAGTTCTTCTCAGAGTGTTAGAGGTGTGTTGCCAAGGGAAACCCTTCCTCAGTGGTGACATGGAGACTCAAGGGATCCGGTGTCCCCATCACAGACAGTCGGGTGAGTTCTTCTCAGAGTGTTAGAGTGTGTTGCTGCCAAGGGAAGCCCTTCCTCAGTGGTGACATGGAGAGTCAAGGGCTCCGGTGTCCCCATCACAGACAGTCGGGTGAGTTGTTCTCAGAGTGTTAGAGTGTGTTGCCAAGGGAGACCCTTCCCCAGTTGTGACATGGAGTGTCAAGGGCTCCGGTGTCCCTATCACAGACAGTTGGGTGAGTTGTTCTCAGAGTGTTAGAGTGTGTTGCCAAGGAAACCCTTCCTCAGTGGTGACATGGAGAGTCAAGGGCTCCGGTGTCCCCATCACAGACAGTCGGGTGAGTTCTTCTCAGAGTGTTAGAGTGTGTTGCCAAGGGAAACCCTTCCTCCAGTGGTGACATGGAGAGTCAAGGGGCTCCGGTGTCCCCATCACAGACAGTCGGGTGAGTTCTTCTCAGAGTGTTAGAGTGTGTTGTTAAGGGAAACCCTTCCCAGTGGTGACATGGAGACTCAAGGGATCCGGTGTCCCCATCACAGACAGTCGGGTGAGTTCTTCTCAGAGTGTTAGAGTGTGTTGCCAAGGGAAACCCTTCCCCAGTGGTGACATGGAGACTCAAGGGATCCGGTGTCCCCATCACAGACAGTCGGGTGAGTTCTTCTCAGAGTGTTAGAGCGTTGCCAAGGGAAACCCTTCCTCAGTGGTGACATGGAGACTCAAGGGATCCGGTGTCCCCATCACAGACAGTCGGGTGAGTTCTTCTCAGAGTGTTAGAGTGTGTTGCCAAGGGAAACCCTTCCTCAGTGGTGACATGGAGACTCAAGGGATCCGGTGTCCCCATCACAGACAGTCGGGTGAGTTCTTCTCAGAGTGTTAGAGTGTGTTGCCAAGGGAAACCCTTCCTCAGTGGTGACATGGAGACTCAAGGGCTCCGGTGTCCCCATCACAGACAGTCGGGTGAGTTCTTCTCAGAGTGTTAGAGTGTGTTGCCAAGGGAAACCCTTCCTCAGTGGTGACATGGAGACTCAAGGGATCCGGTGTCCCCATCACAGACAGTCAGGTGAGTTCTTCTCAGAGTGTTAGAGTGGTGTTGCCAAGGGAAACCCTTCCTCAGTGGTGACATGGAGACTCAAGGGATCCGGTGTCCCCATCACAGACAGTCGGGTGAGTTCTTCTCAGAGTGTTAGAGTGTGTTGCCAAGGGACACCCTTCCCCAGTGGTGACATGGAGACTCAAGGGCTCCGGTGTCCCCATCACAGACAGTCGGGTGAGTTCTTCTCAGAGTGTTAGAGTGTGTTGCCAAGGGAGACCCTTCCTCAGTGGTGACATGGAGACTCAAGGGATCCGACCTTCCAATCACAAACAGTCGGGTGAGTTCTTCTCAGAGTGTTAGAGTGTGTTGTCAAGGGAAACCCTTCCCCTGTGGTGACATGGAGAGTCAAGGGCTCCGACCTTCCAATCACAGACAGTCGGGTAAGTTGTGTGAGAGAGTGTTTTTGCAGACTTAACTCTTATTAATAAGTGCATTTATGATGAATTTATGTTGTGCATATCCTTTCTCTAGGTGAATGCTCATAGCGCTAACAATCAAAGCGCAGCAAATAATTTTCCGGGATAACCCAAGCAGCCTGTGAGGCGCTAGAAGGTTATAGTCACATGACTTATCCCACCTGGTACCCATTTTCCGCTCGGTGAACAGAGGCAATTTTGAACGAACTCACTTGCCTAAAGCGAAACCACATGTATCACATGTGCTTCCTTGTGGGGCAGGACTGAAGTCCTAGAAACTCTCAGGAGTCAAGCTCCCAAACACGGTCACCCATCCCAGGACTCTCCGCGCTCAACGTTCCTTAACTACAACTGATTTATGACCTGAGCTCTATGTACAGGTACACACACTACACTTAAAAGTCGGTTGTAGCCCGCCAGCAGGAAGACTATTGATGATACGGGGTCTGAGACCAGCATTTGCTGTTTGTCACTATATTATTGCAGTAACAGTATCAGTTAAACAACCCGGCCATCAGAACAATGTATAGTCTGGAAATACGTTCCACTGGGTGAGTGAGTGAGTGAGTTAATATTTAACGTCACATCGGCAATATTTCAGCCATATCGTGACGTGAACATTATACATTGAAATGGATGTAGATTATACAACCTGCCTACGAAGGACAGTAAAACAACTAGAATATCACAGATATACATGTAAAACTAGTAATTAAATCTAAAATATTTGAACTATAGGTGACAAGACAATATAAAAATAGGCTATATATCGCCAACAACTGAAGGTAGATCACCATACTAGAGACCATGGGGACTTACAATATATTTGCTTCCTGTATGGAACGTTCCAATGGAATTCATAGTCAAATGTCAATAATTTGAACATACTTCCCACATTACCAGCGTTCGGCACGACTTGGCCCGGGATACGATCAGGGTGGATACCACTTGAATACCTCATTTTGTGTTTATTGTACAAAAGGCCTCTGACCCGTGAAGATCCGGGGTAGAATAGGTCTTCAGCAACACATGTGCTTGCCATAAAGAGGCGACTATCTTGTCGTAAGAGGCGACTAACGGGATCGGGTGGTCAGTTTCGCTGACTTGGTTGACAAATGTCATCGGTTCCCAATTGGGCAGATCGATGCTCATGCTGTTGATCACTGGATTGTCTGGTCCAGACTCGATTATTTACAGACCGCCGCCATATAGCTGGAATATTGCTAAGTGCGGCGTAAAACTAAACTCACTCACTCACTCACTCACAAAAGGCCTCCAGCCCATATACATTGGGGTTGTACATTATACATATCTTGCTTTAAGCAAATCATGTACATTCCTACAGTGATCCTAAACGTTGCTCGTCACATCATGTTACAGGCCCCCGCCGTGAGTTCCTACAATATTGCTAAAAGTGAACTACGATGGATCTGTTACAAAACTTTATATCAAATAGTTACGTAACATAAGAGCATGATTAATATAGTACGACAGCTGTATTACTATATGCTGGTTAGTTGAAATAAGTAGTTTAACGCTAATGAAGGTGACTTACATAGATAATATTCAGTTATATATTTAGTACGCAAATCTTCATAAAAAGGACATACAAGTAAAAAATGACAAATTCATACTCCTTCTCAAACCATTCAAGCAACGAAGATGAGTGAGTGATTATGACATGGCGAAGTTCTTGCATGTTCATTCCACCCTTCTGTGGTACCAAGCGCTAGCAAAGGCGTTTCATTGAAACATCAACATGGCTGATGAAACTGATGGTCAAGTCAAAAGGAGGCATTGAGTAAATATGGTCTTTGGCTGCTTTTAGCAATAATGTGCCGGGGACACAAAAAGTTGGCTTGACGCATTGTACCCCTATATGCCAAGCTCTCTACTAAATCACTCCAGAAACTGCAAAGAATCCAAGATTCTGCTTGCCAGATGTATCACCCACACTCCTCGTCATGACTATATCACTGTACCTCAGCGAAGTCTCCGATCCTCCTCTGACTCTCTTCTCACCCAACACAGATCTCCAAACCAACTGTCTGACCGAGCCTTTTCCTTTGGCATTCCTCAACTGTGGAACTCTCTCCGAAAGGAAACCAGGAACACTTCATCGAAAGAAACGTTTAAATCTCTGCTAAAGAATCATCTGTTCATTGCTGCCTTTCTGTAAAAAGTTATATGAACTATTTCCTTCCCCAATATTGTCCCATCGCCACTGAGCATCTCAATGGTGGATATTAGGCGCTTTATAAATACATTTTTATTATTATTACCCATATGGGAATCGAACTCGAGTTCTCGGCGAGACCACTGGGCTCCCCCACCACACCAAGGGGGCACTGAAGTAAGTTAATTGCGTCTGTTGTAGGACATCACTGTTGAATACATTCAGAAGGAACAGCCTCTGATGCATGTCACAACCGTGAAACTCAAGTTCGCCAGACTGGAACAAAAAGACGCCAACACCTACACCTGTTCGGCCTCCAACGTGGCTGGAACTGATGAAAAGGAGGGCAGGCTTGCCGTTGAATGTGAGTAACAGGTCATGTCTTTGTGCTTAAACCTGTTTGATCCACACCACCTTGTTATTTTCTAAGCGTCAAACAAATATATGCAGCTCGATATTAACAGTGTTTCCCCAGGATCCAAAAAGGGCAGGACGACAGAAGTCCAAAAAGGCCCCCATATTCCCAATGAGAGATGTCCAAGTATCAAGTTATCATATGATTCTGAAAGGCTCAAAAAGCGCCACTTAAGTTCAACATAACAGAAAAAAAGCCCCTAAAACAAACAAGTGTTGATATCAGTTATTGTATTCTTTGTACAGAAAACGTTTCAAGAACACACTGAGAGAGCATTCCATTCTCTTCTGTCCTCCCTGAACATGAATTGTGCCAGAATTTTGCAAGAAGGACAGGGTGCCTTAGAAAAGGGAAGGGTGCAAATAAGAAAGATCACGGCATTGTGCCCTGCTAAAATGCCTTGGGGAAACACTGATTTAATTGGCAGTCTTTCGATGATTTGGTCATAAGATAACTACCTATAATAAATCTATGCACTGGCCCAAATGCTGAAGCTTACCAGCCAGTACATGTGTTATTTCCTAGATCAGTCGATAACCAAGGTGCTTGGTGTTATAGAAAGCGATATCCACGTGTCAGTGTGTACTGAATGACAATACCAATGGGAAAGGATTGCACCAAATACAATACCTGGTGACACAGGCAATCCGTTGTGTTACATCATCAGGAATCACTTATTTTTTTCCAGGACAAAATCGATAAAGACATAAGCAAATGACATTAAAAAACCCCAACTCAAAACAAACAATAAAAAGCTAACCTCTGACATATTCTGAGATCACTTAAGTTTTCTAGTATATATCTGAACACGTATCTGAACACCATAATGTCATTATTGTCCCATGTGTTTGTCTAAGTCAAGCCTAACCTTGCGGACACTCCCTACTCGTCAATCTATGGCTCGGTGAACCACAAGACGGAGATCAAGTGTGTTGCTAATGCCGTACCTCTTCCTGTACTGTTTTGGAAACACAACAGCGTCATGATCAGTCAAGGCCCATCCTTCAGGATCAGTTCGAAGCATGAAAATCAAACGATTATCAGCATTCTGGAGGTATGTTTGTATACCAAACCATTCACTCGTTTCATAAATATGGTATTTAATGGGGCATCGTTTAGTATTCTCTATATACAATACTATTTGGTTCAGTATTTACCAGAGTCCCATGCCTGCCTCTGACCAGGAAGGGCACCTGATTTGTACATTCTATAAACCCAAGCCTCATTTGAACCTAGTCAGTTTCTTATCGTCATCCACCATGACCATCGTGTATCATATTTTCAATGGTAATACATGTTCGATTGGTTGTTTTCATTATAATTGTGTCCATCAGGTGTCGGTGACTGCTGAAAACGAAAACACCATCTTTGGGAAATACACGTGTGTTGCCCAGAACATCCTAGGATCGTCTGAGAAGGACATCATACTAAAGCAGGCTGGTGAGTGCTTGAGGCCTGACATGTGCTTGTTGTCTGGAATTGTTTCTCATGCTGTTGACCACGGTTTTACAAAAGAAACTCTGAAACTGTTTCTTTATTTTTCATTATTTTGACGATGTCACTTCCATTGAATCAACATATATCAGCTTCATTACTATATGTTTTGTGTTTTCTCAATGTCATGAGTTGGTATGACACTATATACTAATTTCACTACGTCACAACTGATCCCGTCGATATCTCTCACTGTGTCCTGATTTAACCTTTGGTATGGTAATATACATTTCTTTCCCTGTGTCGTGATTTATCTGTTTGGTTATCCGTTATTTCACTATGTCATGATATATCTCTTTCACTATATCATTAAAGTAGTATCCGAAAAAGAAAAAAAGACATTTTTTTTCACATTTATGTCTACAGTTTAGGTAGTTAATATGTGAATGTGTGAAATATCTGTTAAACTAAGTTCGGCCTAACTACAGTCCCAGTGGTAAGGAGATAGGAAACGTTAGAAAAGGATTTTGCTGAGGAGAGATTAGTGCAGAAATGAGCAATGCTTTTTTTCTAAGTCCAAAGCGACTTATTTCGAACAGACCATGACTTTATGCAAATTAGTGTGCGATGATAATTGTATTACGAAGGACACTTTTTAAATGCCCATTTTAAAATTGAACTTAGTTTCATTATAAACGAGAGCTGACGTAAAAAAAATAATTTTAATACTGAAACTATTAAGGATGTAGCTACCCTGGAGTCTCACTATAACTATAAAAAGAAACAGGTAGGAGGGGTCGTTTCAAACACAAAGCCAGGACGGGTGTCGCAGACAATAGTTTGGGTCGGGCTGGGGGATAGAGTTATCAGCTAAGATAAGATAAGTTTTGTCCGATTTTACGAGTAATCATGATTTTCCGGATGTCCTATTACGCATCCAACTGAACGCCTAGTTAGGCCTAGTTAGGCCGATGGGGGTTATTAGAGCCTAACCTGTGTGATTTTTTGTAAGCGATTCGAAGCATCGGTTTAGGAGTTATGATTGGTACAAAAATCGACGGAATAATAAATAATAATAATAATATTATATAATAATAATCCGAACGATTACAAGGAGGAGCCCAAATAATCCAATTGTAAAACGACACTGTCATAGGAGAATGAAAACTAAAACATTAAAGAATGATTTCCATCATATGACTTTCCAGACTTGTTATCAGTTGATTTGATGCTTCTGTTCACACTTCAGCGGTGCCATCTGCCCCTGGTGTTTCAATTAAAGCTGTGTCGCCAACGACCATCTCGCTACTGATAAAGGCAAGTGGGACTGGTGGGCAGCCCATCGAGGCCTACAAGGTTGTGTTTTACGCCGAGGGCGATGATCAAAACAAGGTCTCACAACTGATACCTGTCAGTAAGCAACATTCTTGTTCAGTTTGGTAAAGGTTTACCCGAAAGAAAGGAAAGTGTTTTGATTCTCTTTTCCACAGGCACAATTTTCAGTCTTGATTTAAATTCATCTTTGCAACTCACCTTGAAAGCTAGTTTAACTGTTTCAGTAAGAGGAACTCTAGCATAGCTCCATTAAATAAAGAATTGAAAGTTATTTTGATTCACTCTTATTCAGCGGCTATGTTTGTAGATGAGGACCTCATCTACTTAACTGTTAAATCATCGAGTGACCCTTCTGTTGAACTGTCCTGTTTCACCAGCCTGTGTTGTGTGTTTGTTAGACTCAACGTCCCAGGGGATGCAGACCCAGTTCGTCATCAATAATCTTTTACCAAGCCGACAATACGTCATCAGTGTGGAGGCTCGCAACAACGTGGGGTATGGGGCCAAGGCTGCAATCACTACCATGACTCGCCCAGTCCGTAAGTCACGTAGAGGAGCTCATCTCTGAGAAGCTCTGGAGTGTGTCAAGAGTCGTTACTCACAATATCAATCACTTGATTGTCTACAGGTCAACACCTCATAGCTTAAATATTCAAGAATATAGCATACGTGTCTTAAGTGCAGTAACTTAACCTACAAACGAGAAGGACGTGTTATCCCTAAATGTTTGCCTGTCAGCCTCTGTATCTTTACCTGACATGTTGTGTGTCTTCAGGTCAACCGAATCATCCAACAGTTACCTCCCCTAGATTTAGTGAGGATCCGAACAGTTACAAGTTGGTTTGGGAGAAACCTGGGACTGGAGGCATGCCCCTGACTGGATACATGGTCAAGTATTACCAGGTATACTTGCTTCAGTCTCTCACCACCATGTTTTATATACACTGACAAGTTTAAGTTAATGCAATCTGTGCTTCAGACATGGATTGTGGTGTAGCCTGGTGTACCTGAACCATGGTTGCGAACACCCAAGATTTGTGGATTTAGATAAGACCTAAATGCAGGTCTAAATATCACAACGAAAATCACAATACCAACAGACTACGCACGCACGCACGCTCGCACGCGTATGTTGGTGTATAACAATCACACTTTAATGCACAAATAACACAAAACCCTTGTATAACAATCCGTGTCACAATACAACACATGTATGACAATCCATCTCACAATACAATCCATGTATGTCAATTCATGTCACAATACAGACCCATGTATGTCAATTCATGTCACAATACAACCCATGTATGACAATCCATCTCACAATACAACCCATGTAAGTCAATTCATGTTACAATACAGCCCCACGTATGTCAATCCATGTCACAATACAGACCCATGTATGACAATCCATGTCACAATACAGACACATGTATGTCAATCCATGTCACAATACAACACATGTAAGTCAATCCATCTCACAATACAACCCATGTAAGTCAATCCATGTCACAATACAACACATGTATGACAATCCATCTCACAATACAACACATGTATGACAATCCATGTCACAATACAGACCCATGTATGACAATCCATGTCACAAAACAGACCCATATGTGACAATCCATGTCACAATACAACCCATGTATGACAATCCATGTCACAATAGAGACCCATGTATGACAATTCATGTCACAATACAGACCCATGTATGACAACCCATGTCACAATACAGACCCACGTATGACAATCCATGTCACAATGCAGACCCATGTAAGTCAATCCATGTCACAATAAGACCCATGTTTGACAATCCATGTCACAATACAGACCCATGTATGACAATCCATGTCACAATACACACCCACGTATGTCAATTCATGTCAAAATGCAGACCAATGTATGTCAATCCATGTCACAATACAGACCCATGTATATCAATCCATGTCACAAAACAGACCCATGTATGTCAATGAATTTCACAATACAGACCAATGTATGTCAATCCATTTCACAATACAGACCAATGTATATCAATCCATGTCACAAAACAGACCCATGTATGTCAATGAATTTCACAATACAGACCAATGTATGTCAATCCATGTCACAATACAGACAAATGTATGTCAATCCATGTCACAATACAGACAAATGTATGTCAATTCATGTCACAATACAACCCATGTATGACAATCCATCTCACAATACAACCCATGTAAGTCAATTCATGTTACAATACAGCCCCACGTATGTCAATCCATGTCACAATACAGACCCATACGTGACAATCCATGTCACAATACAGACCCATGTATGACAATCCATGTCACAAAACAGACCCATATGTGACAATCCATGTCACAATACAACCCATGTATCACAATCCATGTCACAATAGAGACCAATGTATGACAATCCATGTCACAATACAGGCCCGTGTATGTCAATCCATGTGACAATAAATTACCATATATGTCAATCCATGTCACAATACAGACCCATGTATGTCAATCCATGTCACAATACAGCCCCACGTATGACAATGCAAGTCACAATACAACCCATGTATGTCAATCCATGTCAGAATAGAGACCTATGTATGACAATTCATGTCACAATACAGACCCATGTATGTCAATCCATGTCACAATACAGACCCATGTAATACAATCCATGTCACAATACAGACCCATGTATGTCAATCCATGTCAAAATGCAGACCAATGTATGTCAATCCATGTCACAATACAGACCCATTTGTGACAATCCATGTAAAAATACTGACCCATGTATGACAATCCATGTCACAATGCAGATCCATATCTTACAATCCATGTCACAATACAGACCCATGTATGGCAATCCATGTCACAATGCAGACCCATATCTTACAATCCATGTCACAATACAGAACCATATGTGGCAATCCATGTCACAATACAGACCCATGTATGTGAATCCATGTCACAATACAAACCGATGTATGACAATCCATGTCACAATACAGACCCATGTATCACAATCCATGACACAATACAGACCAATGTATGACAATCCATGTCACAATACAGACCCATGTATCACAATCCATGACACAATACAGACCAATGTATGACAATCCATGTCACAATACAGACCCATGTATCACAACCCAAGTCACAATACAGACCCATGTATGGCAATCCATGTCACAATACCCATGTGTGAAAAAGCCACAATAGAGACCTGACGTTTGCAAAACATCTTCTCTTTTGCAATACGTATCTTAGTACAACTATATATGTGGTGAATGCATTTCATAACATGTCACACTAGAAACCAATCTATTGCAATACGTGTCACACTCAAGATGTAACTATCACAATCTATTGCAATACGTGTCACACTCAAGATGTAACTATCACAATCTATTGCAATACGTGTCACACTCAAGATGTAACTATCACAATCTATTGCAATACGTGTCACACTCAAGATGTAACTATCACAATCTATTGCAATACGTGTCACACTCAAGATGTAACTATCACAATCTATTGCAATACGTGTCACACTCAAGATGTAACTATCACAATCTATTGCAATACCTGTCACACTCAAGATGTAACTATCACAATCTATTGCAATTCACAGTGTAATATGTGTAAGCACCGCAATATATTGCAATACGTATCAAGATATAATATGAAAATATTCCAAAACAACACACCAAGCACTGCAAAGGCACATGAGAGTTCCATTCCCCGGACTTGTCACACATGGAACTAAATTTCACTTTGCGAAGGATGGATATTTTATAACAATAATTTTGCAATGTTGCACATTTGTTCGTCGTTTTCACGACGGCACATACAAAGGTGCTCTTTTACATTCGTTGTAAATTTCGGGGCGGTGGGTTAGCCTAATGGTTAATGCGTTGGCTCGTCACGCCGAATACCCGGGTTCGATTCCCCACATGGGTGCAATGTGTGAAGCCCATATCTGGTGTCCCCCGCCGGGATGTTGCTGGAATATTGCTAAAAGTGGCGTAAAACCAAACTCAGCCAGTCAGTCGCTGTGAATTTCACGTCATTTCTGCACGTGTTTAGGTGGAACTGTCCGAGGGTCAGCCCGATAAAGTGAAGGCGGTGGTTGGAGACATGAAAACGCTAAGAATTAACCAGGGCAATGTGACTGAGATTACACTGACTGGACTGATGCCCAACTCCACTTACCAACTGCAGATCCTTGCTACCAACGATATCGGGCTGTCCATGCCCACACGTAAAATATTCACAACACCACCTGGTGCATGTACGTAACATGGTATTTCATCTTTCCTTGTGAATGGAAACCTGCATGGTCTGCTTGACATGAATCCATAGCAGTCTTTATATCTAAGCAACTACTGCAACAATGTTGAGTGTATTGTCATCTTTGATACAAGATAGATCTTAAAATTATACCACTCTTTCTTGGAATGTATGCTTGCGTCCGTGCACTCTTTCTGAGACCTAACATCATAATATTATTTAGCTAATCCTTGCCTCTGTTGGGAGGCCGAAACAGATGGAATAGGTACAATTTATTGTTTGTTATTTTGTTGTTTCGTATGGTTTAGACCACAATTTTACCACAAAAAAGCCTTTGAAACTGTTTGTAATGTTTCATTATTTTGACGATTTTTAGATCCATTGTGTCAAGATACATCAGCTTGGTTAATCTTTTCTCTATGTCATGAGATATGCGTTTGGTAGGTCACTAATTATTTCTTTAACTGTGTCAGAACTGATCCATTCGATATGTTGCTATTTCATTCTCTCGCTATGTCATAATTTATCCCTTTGGTGACACTAGATGTTTAGTTCCCAGTGTCATGGTTTATATACACTGTGAATTGCAGTGAATTGTGCAGATTTACAAAAATATTTCTAAAACTGAAATGTTTCATTAGTTTGACGAAGTCAGTTCCACTGCGTCATCTTTTCTTGTCAATGGAAACGTGTATTGACTTTATGACATAAAGCCTACATCAAGTATTATATCTAAGCAATTAGTCATGTAATGTCGAATCGTTTTATCTTTGATACAAGATAGATCTTGAAATCATTGCACTGACACTTGCATCCCTGTAGGGATTCCGAAACAGAAGATATCTTATTCTGACACTATTCTATGATGGGAGGAGGAAGCGGACATAATACTTACTGCATTCCTGATGGTTGTCGCGGAAAATCCTTGTCCATGGGTACAATGTGTTTGTTGTCAAGAATTGTGTCGCATGGTTTTGACCTCGATCTTTCTGAAAGTGTTTAAATTTAAATTTGACGATACTAGTTCTATTACATCAACACATATCAGCTTCACTACTATATGGTTTGTCTTTTATCTGTGTCATGAGTTATGTTTTTGGCATGTCACTATTTAATTCTTTAACAATGTCATGAGATATGCGAATGGAACTTTACTATGTATTTCTTTAGCTGTGTCAAAACTGATCCGTTCGAAATATCGCTATTTCATTCTCTCTCTATGTCCTCATTTAACCATTTAGTATGCTAATATATATTTCTTTCCCTGTGTCATGATTTACCCGCTTGTTGTGTCACTATTTATTTCAGTATATCATGATTTAATCATTGGCCATGTCACCATTCATCCGTCATGTATCATTTCTTTCACCATGTCAGATATTTCTCTTCAATCATATCATGTTTAAATCATTCACTAGTTCACAAGTCACATCTTTTATTATGTCACGATGTATCTCTTTCAGCATTATGATTTTACCAATCACTGTGCTAAGATTTTATTTACCTTCACCAAGTCATAATGTATCCCTTTTAACTATGTCATGATATATTCATCTACTTATCTATGCCGCTTGCAAAATGACTCTGTCAAAAGAGAATGAACACTAAAATATCTACTGATTCTTAAATGGATGGCTTCTTCTGTTCACACTTCAGCAGTGCCATCTGCCCCTGATGTTTCAATTAAAGCTGTGTCGCCAACGACCATCCCGCTACTGATAACGGCAAGTGGGACTGGTGGGCAGCCCATCGAGGCCTACAAGATTGTGTTTTACGCCGAGGGTGATGATCAAAACAAGGTCTTACAACTGGTACCTGTCAGTAAGCAACATTCTTGTTCAGTTTGGTAAAGGTTTACCCGGAACAAAGAAAAGTGTTTTGATTCCCTTTCCCACAGTCACAATTTCAAACTTATCAGTCTTCTTGATTTAATTCGTCTTTTCAACTCACCTTGAGAGCTAGTTTAACTGATTCAGTAAGAGGAAGTCTTGCACATTTCCACCATGAAACAACCGAAAGGTATTTTGTTTGACTCTTCCGCGGGTACGACTGGTATATGAGGAGCTCGTTCAGCTCTACTTAACTGGTAGTTGATCGGAGTGGCCCTTCAACTGAACTGCCCTGTTTGATCATCCTAAGTGTGTTGTGTGTTTGTTAGACTCAACGTCCCAGGGGATGCAGACCCAGTTCGTCATCAATAATCTAGCACCCAGGCGACGATACGTCATCAGTGTGGAGGCGCGCAACAACGTGGGGTATGGGGCCAAGGCTGCAATCGCTGCCATGACTCTGGCCATCCGTAAGTTAAGTCGAAAACTTGATCAACTCTGGGGTCACCGTAGTTAGTTACTCATCAGAAAAAGTCATTTGAGACATATATGTCCCTTTGTAGTTCTTGGTGAGTTTAGGAAACTATGGTGTTGTAAGAGCTGACTACATGCATCATGTAGTCAGGCTGTGCTTGCTTGGTTGTCGTCGTACTCTGTTGACACGAATCGTTGCTCACAAAATACATCACTGGATTGTCTGGTCAGGATTCGATTATTTACAGGTCATTACCTCATAGCTTAAATATTCATGAATGTAGCATACATGTCTTAAGTGCAGTAACTTGAAGTACGAATGAGAAGCATGTGATACCCATAAATGACTGTGTGTCAGCCTCATACAGCCCCTTTCAGTGACCTATTGTTGTGTGTCTTCAGGGGAACCGAACCCTCCAACAGTTACCTCCCCTAGATTTAGTGACTATCCGAACAGCTACAAACTGGTTTGGGAGAAACCTGGGACTGGAGGCATGCCCCTGACTCGATACATGGTCAGGTATTATCAGGTATACTTGCTTCAGTCTCTCACCACTGTGGTAGTTATGAACAACATGTTTGAAACAAGCTGTTATATCTGAATGTTATCTGTGATGCAGACATGGATTGTGGTGTAGCCTGGTACCTGAAATGTTGACTGAAATATTGCAATTTATTTCAACGCATATTATTTGTTGCAATACGTGTCACAATGCAACCATATGTGCTGAATGTTTTTTATAACATGTCACACTATCGCAATTATATTGCAACACCTGTCAAAATAAATACCTAATTGTCACAATCGACTGCGATTCACATTGCAATATGTGTTAAAATGGATTCGTAACTATCACAAAATATTTGCAATACCTGTCAAAATAAATATGTAACAATGACAACCTACTGCAATTCACTGTGTAATATGTGTTATAATGTGGCTGTAAGTATCTCGATGTATATACTGTATAACACAATACAGACCTATGCATCTCAGTATATCGCAAAACAATCCAACAAGCACAGATAAGCCACAATCAAATGAGAGTTCAATTCCTGGAGTGAATGAGTGAGTGAGTATGCTTTAAAGTTGCTTTTATCAATATTCCAGCAATATCACGGCGGGGGACACCAGGAATGGGCCTCACACATTGTACCCATGTGGGGAATCGAACCCGGATCTTCAACGTGACTGCAGATACCTTAAAAATTAGGCTACCCTTCCACCCCTCATTATTTGGAATAAATGTCACTTTGCAAAGCATGTATGTAATAACCCGAATTTTTCAACATTGAACATATGTTCCTCGTTAACATTAGGGCACAAACGAAGGTGCTTTTTACATTCGTTGTAAATTTCACGTCATTTCTGAACGTGTTTAGGTGGAACTATCCGAGGGTCAGCCTGAGAAAGTGAAGGCGGCGGTTGGAGACATGAAAACGCTGCTAATTGACCAGAGCAATGTGACTGAGATTACATTGACGGAATTGATGCCCAACTGCACTTATGAACTGCAGATCAGCGCTATGAACCCTATGGGAGTGTCCAAGGCCACACGTAAAATATTCACCACACCACCTGGGGGATGTAAGCAACACCTTATTTCATCTTTTCTTGTCAATGAAAACATGCATTGACTGTGTGACATAGGGTCCCCATCAGGTATTATATCTAAGCAATTAGAGAATGAAAACGAAAACATTAAGGAATGTTTTCATCCATTTGTATTTCCATGCCAGTTATCAGTTGATTTGATGGTACTGTTTATACTTCAGCGGTGCCATCTGATCCTGATGTTTCAATTAAAGAGGTGTCGCCAACGACCATCTCGTTACTGATAACGGCAAGTGGGTCTGGTGGGCAGCCCATCGAGGCCTACAAGATTGTGTTTTACGCCGAGGGCGATGATCAAAACAAGGTCTTACAACTGGTACCTGTCAGTAAGCAATATTCTTTTTCAGTTTGGTAAAGGTTTAGCCGAAACAAAAAAAGTGTTTTGATGCACTCTTATTCCGGCACAATTTCAAACTTTTCAGTCTTGTTAATTTGATTTCGTCTTTTCAACTCACCTTGAAAGCAAGTTTAACTGTTTCAGTAAGAGGATGTCTTGCACATTTCCACTATGAAACAACCGAAAGGTATTTTGTTTGACTCTTCCACGGGTACGATTGGTAAATGAGGAGCTCGTTGAGCAATACTTAACTGGCAGTTCATCGAGTGACCCTTCTGTTGAACTGTCCTGTTTCACCAGCCTGTGCTGTGTGTTTGTTAGACTCAACGTCCCAGGGGATGCAGACCCAGTTCGTCATTAATAATCTTTTACCAAGCCGACGATACGTCATCAGTGTGGAGGCTCGCAACAACGTGGGGTATGGGGCCAAGGCTGCAATCTCTGCCATGACTCAGTCCGTCCGTAAGTTAAGTCGAGAAGCTGATCAACTCTGGGGTCACCGCAATTAGTTACTCATCAGAAATGTATTGTGTAACAGATATATACTCGGCGTCATTAATGAAGGGTCAAGCTATTGGCAACAGTATTTTTGTGAATTTTGTAAAATCTTCCTTGTTGTTTAAAATATGTACAACCGAATGTTTCACTAACTTTCTTAACAGTATGGAAAAACACATCAGGCCATTGAAATGTCATCATTATGTTCGTTAACGTTGTGCTGTTACAAAGGGCGCATATGTTATTCTGATTTTTTTAATATGGAAATCCAACTGCCACTTAATGTCAGTGATTTGCACGTGCAAGTCCCCCTATACATGGGAAAAGGAGGACCATACACATGCATTGATGCTTTTTCACTGTCGTTCACTGTTCAGGTACCTCTTTGAAATCGCAGCTTAAAATGAGACGGTTTTTTTACACTTGCTGAAAGGGGTCAGGCTATTGTCCTCTTGGAATCAGATCCGCCTCAGCGGCAGCTTGCTGACCGCTTTAATGTAAGTCAGAGTGCTTTTGGTAGACTGGCAGAGATTAAGCCAATGGGTCCGTGGAATATGCACGTCGACCAGGTCGCCACGGAGTCACAACAGTCCGAGATGTTAGGCACATGATTAACACCGCATTTCGTAACAGATTCCTTAACACAGCAGATATTCAAACAGAACAGTTCAATGTTAACAATGTAAGGCTATCGAGGGGCACCTTTCGTAAACGTTTAAGGGCAGCCGGACTCCGTTGTAGGCGACCTGCAGTTTGTCCACCACGTCGACCCTCGTTACTGCAAGACACCAACGATAGGCGTAACAGGGCCATTATTGTCACGGAATACCTTAGGCAACAGGGTGTAGAGCAGATGGAGTGGCCAGAATGTTCGCTAGACCTCAACCCAGGTAAGCATCCCTGGGATAAACTCAGACGACGTCACCCAGCACCAGTGTATCTCCCAGGACTCCGCAGGGCTCTAGTAGAGGAATGGAAGCTTTCTTTGTGAACTTGATATGGAGCATGAGAACGAGGTGCACCAGTGTCTTGGACGCGCGAGGAGGGTACACAAGATATTGAATGACCGAGTGATTCATGTCTGTCATTTTCATTTTGGGGGTTGGTCTACACAACTGATGTTTGCTAGTGCTGTGTGAACTTTCTGTCTGTATGTCACGATGTGTCACGTTGGTCAACATATTAAACGTTATGACACTCTTAGTTCTATTATTTCTGAGAAACCTTTCTTTACATATATATAATATGACCCTTCATTAATGACACCTAGTATGTATATTCTTAAAAAAAACTCAATTTTATTTACGATTGAAAACATCGGGAGATATATCGGAGTCAATTAATGCTGATATGATAATAATGAATGTTTTGAGATAGCATCACCACTTGCACTTCCTTATGACCATAGTTGTTTGTACAGTAATCGCTCTTGAAAGATGATTGGTGTATGAAAACCCTCAAAATCAAGAATTACACCCATACACATGTATGGGACTACTACGTTGTGCACGTGCATCCCATGCGTTGAACTGAGGGGTGGCGATATTGAGAAATGCCGGTGCGTTCATAAGATGACTGCATTTGAAAAGTTTGTTAACGCTTATACTTCCTATTGCTATTGAAAGTTTTTTATCCCATCCCAAAATTGTCCACTTAAGGCATAACGAGAATCCATTTGACTCTGCACATTGTTTGCCCATCTATTTGACCTTCCTGATCAAATTTCAGAGAAGCCATCAGCTCCGAGCATTTCAGCTGATGAAGTGACGTCCACAAGCATCCGTCTGCTGATTGCGAAAGAACAAGAAACTTGGGGGCTGCCCGTCATGGAGTACAGGGTCGTTTATTATGCCAAAGGCAATGTAAAAGGAAAGATCAGAAGAAAGGTTCCTGTCAGTAAGTTGAGTTGTTTATCAATTACAGTAACAGACGGTTAACTCCCCTCCTCAATACAAATGAAAAAACCAGACCGGAGTGGTGGAGTGGTGGGCGAGCTGGCTAAGGCGCCAGGTAGTAATCCAGCGAGCTTGAGTTGACGGGATCGAGCCCAGGGGACCAGGTGTAAAAACCTCGGATTCAACTTTGTGTGCAGACTCTTTCAGTGTTGTCACAACCCCTAGTGTACAGTACACAACCCTGTGCACTTAAAAGAACCCACCAGCCCTTTGGTATTTGACCAGATGGTGGCCACATGAATACGTGCAAACACCTAGTTGCGGGTACAGCAACATGCAGTAAACTTGGACAAAGTACTGTGACTTTCTGTTGCAGTCCACCCAGCTGTGAATTGGGTACCTCGTAGTGATGGGAAAGCCACATTAACTCGGTGCGCCTGGTAGGCAGCAAGAGTTGTATGCTCCCCAGGGAGTTAATACGAAGTGCCGTTGAGACTGACATCCTAAGATCGAGGGAAAAAATCAAAGCGCCTGTGTGCAGCCTAGCTGGAACTCGGCGCTATATAAATAGATTATAATAAAATAATTATGATAATACCTCAGACACAATGTAATGCTCACCTTTCCTCCCAGTTCTCTGGAGTGTTGTTTCAGTCTAACCAGTTTAGGTGTGTCATGTGTTATATGGTTTTGTCAGACAGAAACTCCAAGGACCTGCAGACTGTGTTCCTCATTGACAATCTGGGAGCCGGGGTTCAGTACTTCATCAGGGTAATGGCTCGCAACAACCTGGGTTATGGAGCCAAGGCTAAAATGTCTGTCAAGACAGCGTTCTTCAGTGAGTTGAAACCAAACAATAATGACCCTGTTTTATGGAGGGGGTTATCTTGGACTCCATTCGAGTGAATGATATATTATACTCAGGTCTATAATTGTGTGGGGCTGTGGGGTAGCCTAATGGTTAAAGTGTTCGCTCGTCACGCCACAGACCCGGTTTCGATTCCCCACATGGGTACAATGTGTGAACCCCATTTCTGGTGTCCCCCGCCGTGATATTGCTGGAATATTGCTAAAAGCTGCGTAAAACCATACTCACACACTCACTCTAAAATTGTGAATTGTGCTTTACTTTTTTGGAATCAACACTTACTGATTGAGGAGCTCTGACACTGACTAACACAGAATCTTCTCAGAAAGACATCACAGATATATTGTAGGCACTGACTGACTGACTGATTATACAGTGGCCGGGTTTTATAAGAACGTTTTGTATACTGTTAGGCAGTTATGAATAAAATGTGTGTTGTTTGACATATACCCAACAACCAATTCCACAACCAACCACAGCAGTCTTCTATCCATTCCATCTTCCAGATTGATTGTCCATTGATTTAAATTTTCTGTTCAAACTTTCAGCGGTACCATCACTACCGAGTCTGTCATTTGCCTCCAGGCTTGTGTACTTCACAGAGGCTGACGACGAGAGAAACGTCACACCAACGGCACCAGTCAGTAAGTGGAACTCTAGCTACGTTCCCTTAAATTAAGGTTAAGTTGAGGCAGCGAAAGGTTTGTTGGAGTCGAGACGTGACAATTGTGTGGTACCCATTCAAGGCCAGCAAGTCCTCATGATCCCTCGGAGTAATGAGCCGAGACAAAAGGTGCTTCACGTGTCTCCAGCTGGGCGCAGAGCTAGTGTTAACTTTTTTGGTCTTGGAGTTATGAACTCGCTTGTGTATCCTAACTTTCCTTTGAACGACCAAATTCATTATAACCACCTCACTCAAACTCAATTGTTTTTTTTTTTTTTTGCCATTTTCAATTAATTGTCAAAATATAATAACATTTAAATGTTGGTTTACGTGTTTGTTATTTATATGAGAAACGATAAGAAAGACTTCAAACTGCCAAGTTCATGTGCAGAACCAGAACATCTCAATGTACCTTACTTATTTTATCTATCCTCAGTAACCTTAATGTGTGCCACATGGGTTTCTTGCTCCAAGTTCTAGTAGGAACTAATTCACCGGTAACATTTGTTGACATTTGGCATTTTAGTGTGTAGCCATGTAAGATGAAATTTATTGAGTGTTTACAAAAATTCAATCATACTTTTACGCAACAGACTTAATATGTTTTGAATTTTCACATAAATATTTGCGTAATTTACGCAGATACGCAGCTTATCTGTATACCTGGCCAGGTGTGATGTAAACTGTTTAGTTCATCCCGTGAGCGATAGTTAACAAGATGAACCAAATGAATGCTGTACCATGGACTGAAAGTATAACTGTGCTCTGTGTTAGTCATCCACTTCAAGAAACTGAAGACAGATTTACAGGCAGGTGTTCTTCTATGTCTGTAGTGAGTGAGTGAGTGAGTTTAGTTTTACGCCGCTTTTAGCAATATTCCAGCAATATCACGGCGGGGGACACCAGTAATGGGCTTCACACATTGCACCAATGTGGGGAATCGAACCCAGGTCTGTGGCGTGACGAGCCAACGCTTTAACCACTAGGCTACCCCACCGCCCCCCATTCGTCTTTAAGTGACCCTTTTACCAAAATGTTGTTTTGACCCTTCAGGTCAGCCGGACCCTCGAAGAGTTACCTCCCCTAGGTCTAGTGATAATCCTAACAGCAACAAGTTGGTTTGGGAGAAACCGGACACTGGCGGCAAACCCCTGACTCTCTATAAGTACAAGTCTTACCAGGTAGGTCAGGACATGCTAGCGAACACCTGGTGTTCATTCGGATAGGTATATAAATTTCACCGTTATTTTTGCTCTTTACACCAGATTAAATCTCATTCTGGGGATAATAAAGAAAAGGCATTCTTTTCCACTGATGTTTTTTTTTAAAGTACCCCTGTTCCTCATCAACATGGCAGTTACTTTAAAAAGATGTTTCTGAAACAGGCTGCCTACTCCATCCTCTGTACCACATACTACGTTATATGAAGTGTGGTCGAGCCAAGTAGATTCATGGTTGCTTGAAACAACTATTTCTGGTGTCCTTAAAGTTGGAGCTGTTTTGAAAATGCCTTTGATCAAATAAAATAAAACTTAGTATCAAAGGCACTTTTGTAACAGGGGACCAAAGTATAATTAATGTTTCAACATCATCACAGAACACCATTGTCGTATATTGTTCATGTTGGAACAAAAGACCTACCCAAGTAACTTTCACAGTGCTAGTGTTGGCAGCCATATGTATTGAAGAACACATGATTGTAATCGGGGAATGCTTGTTTATTGATACCCTTTACCATGAGGTTACATATTGGAAAAGGTGGACGAGTACGAGGGTGATCCAGCCACGAAATACCCGATAATTGACCAGGACGATACCACTGAGATGGAACTCACTGACGCGAGGCCCAACTCCACCTACAAGCTGCTGATCACTTCCATGAACACCACAGAAGAATCCCTGGCCACTAAAATACTATTCACGACACCACCTGGCGGACGTAAGTGGTATCTTTTGCTGTTTGAATCTTATATTTTTTATACATAATGAAACACTTCCGCTCCGTCTAGGTTCACTTTCATGATTGTTTTCCTGTCCGGATTCTGACTGACTGACTGAGTTTGGTTTTACGCCGCTTTCAGCAATATTCCAGCAACATCACGGCGGGCTGTCCGGATGCTGAGTGAGTGAGGGAATTTTGTTTGATTTCCGTTTTTAGCAATATTCCAGCAACATCACGGCGGGAGACACCAGAAATGGGCTTCACATATTGTACCCATGTGTGGAATCGAACCCGAGTCTTCGGGTTGACCACTAGACCAGTTGGGGTTCTGAGGCTGGAGATCCTCTTCTTTATATCCTGGAACACTTTACGTTCTCATTATACGGTAGACCCGTGCAGATCCGGGTTAGAACTTCAGTAACCCATGCTTGTCGTAAGAGGCGACTAACGGGATCGGATGGTGAGGCTCGCTGACTTGGTTCACATATGTCATCGTTTCCCAGTTGGGTAGATCGATGCTCATGCTGTTGAATGTCTGGCCCTGGATTGTCTGCCCCAGACTCGATCAATTACAGACCGCCTTCATACAGCTGGAATATCGCCGAGTGCGGCGTAAAAATATACTCACTCACAATGAAAATAAAAAAAATAAGTCTCTTCATGCCCTTGAGAAAATTCGGAATTTGTTTCAAAGGTGAGTAACATGTGTCATGCTTTTTCTAGTTTGACTAGGTTTATCAGTTCCACTTTGCCATGTGGTATCTTCCCACTGTGTCATGTGATATTTTCCCACTGTGTCATGTGATATTTCCCACTGTGTCATGTGATATTTTCCCACTGTGTCATGTGATATTTTCCCACTGTGTCATGTGATATTTTCCCACTGTGTCATGTGATATTTTCCCACTGTGTCATGTGATAATTTCCTACTGTGTCATGTGATATTTTCCCACTGTGTCATGTGATATTTTCCCACTGTATCATGTGATATTTTCCCACTGTGTCATGTGTGTTATATCTCATTTGTCTGTGTTTTATGTTTCATGTTTTATGCGTTGACAATTCCATGCTGTACCGTATTATATTTTATCCATTTCACCATATCATGATTTATTACATTCATTGTACCATACTTAACCAGTTTCGCTGTGGTCTGCTGTATTGCTTTAACTGGCTGTTTCACCTCATATTTAATAATTCATCCATTGCGTTATATTATGCCTTCTGTGTTTCACTGTGTCACGTTTCACCCATTTCATCGTCAGTTTCACCATGCCAAGTATTACTCGTTACACCATTATGTTGTCTCATTTTCACCACCTCATGTTTTATTTGTTTCACCATCTCATGTTTTGATCTGTTTGATTGGCATTTAGAAGTTGGTGACTAATAAGAAAGTAAGAAAGTTTATGGATAACAACGTCTTTATTATATATGATGCGACGTTTCGGTATGGATTCTTATACCGTTGTCAAGCAAGAGTGCGACGTTTCGGTATGGATTCTTATACCGTTGTCAAGCAAGAGTTAGCTTGACAACGGTATAAGAATCCATACCGAAACGTCGCATCATATATAATAAATAAGATGTTATCCATAAACTTTCTTACTTTCTCATCTCATGTTTTACCTGTTTCACCGTCTCATGTTTAATTTGTTTCACCTTCTCGTGTTTTACCTGTTTGACCCTCTCACGTTGTATGTTTCACCAACTCATGTTTTTTCTTTCACCATCTCATGTTTTATCTGTTTCAACACCTCATGTTTTCAAATGTTTAAATGCGTCAGTTTTATCAACTGAAGAATGTCATGCGTCCCAGGAATTCGGACTTAATTTCGACTTGGCCAAGGTTTATGGAGCCTCGCGGCACTCTTGGCAGCGGCGGAACATATGGAATCATCCCTGACATGATACCACCTTGCCATAAACTGAACTTGAAAATATTTTGCAATGTTTTATTCGCTGTTTAATGTCGCATTTAACAATACTCCAGCTGCTTGTGTAACATTCAAATCGTATGTTTCGCCTGGCATTGGTTGCTTTGGACATATTCTGACCTGGCATATATACGAGGGATATCATTGGATGATACTGTATGATAGGATCCGTAAGTAGGTCACGGCACTTCCCGATACCTTTGTACTTCCGGTGACAAACAACGTTTCATGCCTTTTCGATTGGACTCACGGTTGTCAGTTGACAGTAAGGACCCGATAATTCTTGCAGGAATAACATATTTCCCATCTATCCATCTCCAAATTAGCCAACTTCTACGACTGTCAACAGCAGTGACCAGTCAAGGATGTACACTTGGTCCGGAACAGTAATGTCATATATGGCGGTCGCGCAGTTTGGAACCAGAACTGGTTCTTGAATTAACAGGAAATCTGCTACCGGAAGTAAGCTGGGTCCGGTCTCGCAAAGGGCGTAAAGGGAGCCGGGAACTAGCTAAAGTACCGTAAGCAGGCTTACAGGCTCTATTACAGTCAATTATTATGATAATTCACCCCCAAAGTGTCTGACTTTCAAGTAAGGATGCTGCTCAGAGGCACTTAGCCTTACGCTTAAATTGAAAGGTAGCCCCAGGGAGACCAGAGATTCAGATTCCTTTCCCAAAGATTTTGCTTAAACTGTGCACAAGACTTACACTATAGCTTCATGTCACCCCGAGTGCTTGTAAGGTAAGAGTTGACAGATGAAAATGTGAGGCAAGATTCCAGACCACTGGTGAGGATGTTGGTCCAGCCTGCTATGGCAGTTTGTAAACCGAGTTAGTTTTCTTTCAGATGTTAAGAGACCTTGAACCTGAGGAAATCTAGACATGCTTCATTTAGGGCTTCAGCATTGCAGGGATGGAGTAGGGGAAACGATGTGGTTGAGGGACAGTGAGACGGATTGAGAGGCATTATTAGGACTCTATTGCAGGACGCCATCTCTTCAAAGGTTGGTTAGCTTGCTGTTTTACGCCGCAATATTCCAGCTACATGGCGGCGGTCTGTAAATAATTCAATCTGGAGCACACAGTCCAGTGATCAACACACAAGCATCGATCTACGCAGTTGGGAACCGATGCCATGTGCCATGTAAGTCAGCGAGCCTGACCATCGATCCCGCCTCTTACGACAAGCATAGGTTACTGAAGATCAATTTTAACCCAGATCTTCACGGGTTATTCAGACGTAGGTCTTCTGAGAAGAATAACGTTATACTGTTGAGAGGATTAACATGTATAGTGTTGACCTGGCTTTGAGGTAGGCCTTCTGAGAGAATAGTGGAAGAAGCCGGGTTTTGTTGAAGTCCTGATATAGACAGGTTGTGTATTAAACAGAGTGGGAGAAGCTCCTGAAAAAACTTTCGCACAGTGCGAGGACGTTGGTTGTGACGAGGACGTGAATTTATCGTCCAGTTGAAGATACTGTTGATACTGAGGATCGTGCATATCGCTGTAATATAGCTCGAACATTATCAGTTGTTTAACGAGCATTCAATGAAGACTACAGCATAATGTTGGATGTATGTTATAAATGTTGTTAATGGTTTTTAGCTAACATATGTCACTGTGTAGATTTACGTGCAATATATTAATGAAGCTGAATACATTACTAAGTTTTGTTTTTGTTTTTGAGGTTGTAGAGAGGCAGCAAATATTGTGTCACTATGTATTTTGAATTTTAGTACATGAAAATACATATTTATTGATTGCTCTTCATTTTGTCTCTGTTATTGTCTCTGTCTCTCTTTCGGCTCCTCAACAGATACATGAAGCACATAGCTTAAACCTACACGTCGTGGAGACCTCGAGTCACCTACTTTGGCAGTTCTTCCGATACGTCAAGACAATACAAACTGTCCCAGAACCATCCAGCCTGCCATGTCCAGCCTAAGTCCTGGGACAAAAGCGTTGTGAAAAGTTCCACTAGCGGTTGTCCACGACAGCGCTAGATATATCTTCACCGATATTTCAATTTTGTAATGCCACTGGCTATTACACCAGTGACCATATAATAGAGGCTTCTGATTACACCAACTAAACTGAGTTTAAAACAGTCTATACTGCCACCGTACTTACTTGTTGTCGTATCTCACATCTTCACTGTTAACCAGCAACTTCCGCGAGTGGTACAATGTGTGAAGCCCAAGTCTTGTGTCCACCCGATCCCACCACCCCCGTGATTGTTCTGAAATATTGCTATTCCCGAGAGTGCGAGACTACAACGCACTCGAATATGGCCGCCGAGTGACGTCACACCGCACTCGCATCCCTAATAGGCTGGGACCAAAGGAAAACTTGGCTTTCCTGCACGAGATAGCGTAGAACCATGAGTCGATCCATTAATCCATTACACTTACTCTTACAACAATATACTTAGTATAACATATGATGGATATTCCCATTTCATAATATACATTTCGATATATCTTTTATGAATAGTGGCGCTCGTATTGAACACTCGTTGTCCTGAAGATGTGCTTTGATATTTTTTGGTGTAATAGACTCTTCATCTCGAAACAATTAGTAATGTGCTATTCTCTGTTTTCATGTTTTTTTGTTTTGTTAAAAACCTTGACGTTGGGTGTGTAGGCCCAAACGATTATGGTAGCTCATTCATCAACACATGCAATACATACAAAGGACAGACCCGTGAAGGATCCGGGGTAGAATAGGTCTTCATTCAGCGACTAACGGGATCGGGTGGTCAGGCTCGCTGACTTGGTTGACACATGTCATCAGTTCCCAATTGCGCAGATCGATGCTCATGCTGTTGATCACTGGATTGTCTGGTCCAGACTTGATTATTTACAGACCGCCGCCATATTGCTGGAATATTGCTGAGTGCGGCGTAAAACTAAACTCACTCACTCACTCACAAAGGACAAAAATATACCCAAAATGTTTTGATTGCGGAAATAAAATAAAACATTCATGAATCTTCTGATTCGACTATTGTAAATCGTGACTCCATTGTCCATACTCCAAGTATAGCCATGAGAATAGTACTGACTGACTGACTGAGATTGGTTTTACGCCGCTTTTAGCAATATTCCAGCAACATCACGGCGGGGGACACCAGAAATGGGCTTCACACATTGTGCCCATGAGGGGAATCGAACCGGGGTCTTCGGCGTGACGAGCCAACGCTTTAACCACTAGGCTACCCCAC